ACTTTAGCGTGCCGGGCGGCGAGATGACGCCGACGCTCAAGCTCAAGCGCAATGTGGTTGCGGACAAGTACGCGGCTGAGATCGACGCCATGTACTTGGACGAAGTATAGTTTTGATTTCTATCTACTCGAATACCTTGTGTATGACCTTGATGGAGCACTGTGCGTGCGTCGTTGTGGGAGCAGACTGAGTAGTGAGATTGCCCTTTCTACTTGATTGGCTATTTTTAGATTTCGCGACTCTAGTTGGCCAATCAGAATCGTTGATCTAGTTGCGTTTGGTCATTTTTGGTTTGGCCATGTCGGAGCAGCCCGCGCCACCCGACGGTCACGAAGGATACCTCCTCGAGCTCCACGCGCCGACGTGGCAGACACGCTACGCGGTGCTCGGAAGCGGCGTGTTGTACGTGTATAGCCATCGGGGCGAGGCGTATCCACGGGACCTTGTCTTGCTCGCAGGCTGCGTCGTCGAGGCGTGGCCACAACATCGGCCACATAGTTTTTCCATTACGCACCCGTCAACAACATATGCGATCTGTCTGGCAGCTTCGGACACGACATCGGTGGCTGCTTGGGTGACAAAGCTACGGGCTCATGCGGCCCTCGCGCCGCGGCGAGCGTCCACGGGGACCAAGGAGCTCCAGGCGCGCCCCGCTGATGTTCCAAAGCTCTGGACCGAGTCTAGTATTTTCGTGGCGCAGAAGTACGAGTACCAGATCAAAGCCATGATGACGGATCTGGCGCAGCACCTCTTTGATGCGAGCCGATGGACGCTGGCGCCATCCGATGCAACTCTGCGCGTCTGGACGTCGAGCAATGCGGTCATGAGCAAAGCAACGATCCACGAGACACCACCCGTCATTCTACAAGCGCTGCTCACTCCCTCGAGCATGCTTCAGGTGGACACGCAGATCAGTGCGCTTCATCTCCTCTCGGCCGTGGACCCGCACACGTCGGTGCAATATGCGTTGCACAAGCCATTGTTTCCAGCGTCTCGCAAAGCGTGTGTTAAACTATTGCACTGGCGTCTCCTACCCGACAACTCGCTTGTGGTTGTGAGCCGGTCGCTTCAAAACTACGCGCTCCCAGCTTCGCTCGAGGACGTGCCACGTATGGCGCTGCACCTCGAAGGTTTCCATATCGTACCAGCGCCCGACAACCTGAGTGCCGAGGTCACGTACGTACTCCAGCCAGAGGCCCCGAGCGTACCGCTAGAGGTCTTTGGCGCCAAGGTATGCCAACTGCGGTCGGTGGTGCAGTCACCCTACGGCCCAGTCGCCGTCGCACCACTACCTCACCCGGCGGCGCATGCCGCTGAGGTTGAGGCGGCGCTTACGGCGCTTCTAACTGCTTTGGACGCCGAGGCGAAACAATGGACCGTGCACGGCGAGCGCGACGGCGTCGCAGTGTCGTACAAGCCCGACGGCGATCTCGTTGCGGTGCGCGCCCGTGGGTTGCTCCCTTTCCCAGCCAAAGACATTCTGTCCTTTGTGCTGGCAGTCTACGAAAAACCGGCGCACGACCCGCTCTGCGTCGTCGCGGAGCGCGTGGCAACGCTGGATGCACACACGACCATCGACTACGTCGCGTACAAGCCGGTGCTCCTTGTGTCAGGGCGCGACTTTGTAACGCGCGTCCACTCGCGGGAGCTCAATGACGGGTCCAGTGTCGTCGTTGCCACGTCGACGACCCACCCGCTATGTCCGCTCCGCGAGCCCGACACCATTCGCGGCCACGTACACTTGGCGGGCTGGCGCATCACGCCACGCAGTGCGTCGCTCTCCGAGGTGTGGTTTTTTGTCAAGACAGACCTTCGCGGCTCCATTCCCGCGCGCATCTCGCAGCGTGTGCTGATTGACCAAGGCTTTGGTATGTTGGATGTAGCCAAAGCACTGGCGGCCAAGTCCAAGGTGGCGTCGGCGCCAGCATCGCTTCCGACGCCGCCATCGCCTTTGTCTCTAGACACTCCACCGGCGCGACCACCACCGACACCGCAAGACATGACGCTATTGGGCCTGGCCCAGTTTATGGCTCTCTTTCTAAGTCTCTTGTACGCCGCGCCGGCCCTTTTCACAACGTACTTGGTCGAGATCCTCCACGAAACTCTCGTTTGGGGTCTCATTGCCTGGATGTGTGTCCAGCTCTACCTGGGCCCAGCCACGAACCACGCCCACCACGCTGGCTACGGCCACATCTATGCCGGCGTCGACATTGACGTCACCGCGGCGCTGACGTTCTTGCAAGAGCCGTCGCAACAAGGCATCTGCATTCGCGATGTGGTGGTAGCCGCTGTCGCCCGTGTCCTCGGTTCTATGCCGCATCTCAATAGTCATATAGTGCTCGGGAAGCTGTACCCATCGTCAACAGTTGACGTCACGCTGGTGGCTCGCGGCCAACATGACGAGATGTTGGAGCCTCTGCCCCTCCAAGATCTCGCCACCGGAACCGTTCGAGGTGTCGCGGAGAGCGTGCGCGCTGGTATTGTCAAGCAGCAACGTGACGGAACGGTCGCTTGTCGCCAGGCGTGGGCGCGGTGGCTACCGTCCTCCATTCTACAGCTTGCACTGCGCCTCGTGGCATGGCTTAGCCAAGGACTTGGCCTCGACTGCTCACGCGTGGGCGTTCCGCGCCGGGTGTTTGGCCAAGCCCTCGTCGTTGAGCTTGATGATGCGTACGTTCCGATTGCACCTTGGATGCACGTACCGCTACTGGTCGTCCTTGGACCACCGGCGAAGAAGCCCGTCGTTGTCGACGACCAAGTGGTGGTTCGGACGATGGTTTGCCTTCACGTGACATTGGATGAACGCTATATCGAGGCGGCCGACGCCAACCGCGTCACTGCTCTTCTTCGCACGTATGTGACTGATCCCGCCGCGCATTTGACCTCGAAAGCGTCGACAGCACAAAACGCCAAGGCAGTTGAGACGACCGATGTGCCCGCGAGTGACGCCCGTCTTTGATTCTTGGTAATACACATGCATGACAGTATTGTCACCAATGGCACGACCAATGGGGTATTCACATTGCTAGCAGGCGCTGGTGCTGGTGAGGATAGCCTGCGACGCATTTGTCGATTGAAAGTGAGTGTAACCCTCCTGGTTGTAACCGGCGGTTTCAGAAGTATCCAGCTGACCCTACCCCTGGACAACATCTCGAAGCAGCGAAGGCAGCTGGGTTGAAGCAGGCTGGTTGAAGCAGATACTGCTCGTAGGAATGGGTTCACATTCGATTCGTTATCCTCGACAAAGTAGATATAAGAACGCGTTGCACCAACAACATCATCGCGTTGCTATGCGTGTGAGGCCGGTGCAGACCGTTCGGTGCAATATCATCATCCTAGTTACAAGTGTAGCATATGGGTTATATAGTGGAGGAAGATTTGACATGACCACACACTCAAAACGACACTGTACGGCTCCGCCTCCACGAGGCAGTCACAACGAGCGTCGCGCAATCTTAGGCTCCTGGCCGACCAGGCGGCCTCAAAACGCAGTGATGTGACGGCTACCGGTGATTGCAATCCTCTCTAGCGTAATCCGCTCGATATTCGGAATGCTGCGTTGAAGCGACGCTCTGCGCGGGCAGCGACGTCCACGTAACCAAGACGGAGCGCACCTGGGTGCTGGCCGTAGCATCATCCAGATTGTCGGTTTTTATGTCATCCGTGCAAACTGCGTGATGCTGGCGGCAGAGCTTGGAGGCAGCAGCGTGCCGCCACCAATCGTCCCGTGCAGTTCTCTCGAGTGGTTCATAGCATATTTTGCATCAACACGGGCAAATTCGCTCGCACGAGACATGGATGAGTCAGCTTGCGAGCAGCCCGAACACGCCGGGATTCTTCCCGTTGTGGCACGGCCGCAACCTTGCGCCATCCAATCTTCGTGTCTACCCTCGCTGTGGGTGCATTTGGGAGAGCGGGCTACGCGGCGCTTGATTTCCATCGGCGCGTCCGTACGTGTCCGTTGCTGGCCGCAGCTGCGCGCGGCGAACAAACACCACACGACGACTCTACGATCTTAGTGCGACCAGGCGCTTGGGGGCGTAAGAACCGCCCAAGTGTCGTGTCAACGGCGACCAGCAGGAATCAGGTCACCTGTGCGTGAGTCACGGGCTCAATTGCCGTTCGGAACCTGGCAGCTGCATACAAACCGCAAGACACATGCTAAACTTAAAACACGCAACAAGCCGAGTCCGCGTCCCTTGTCGTCGCGAGGCCCGCCGTCGACAGAGGCAGCTCTTACGCATTCCTTGAGCTTCGACATGCACACACGACGATGATTCTACCGCGACAGGCTGTCGCGTACGTACCACCGAACGACGTTCAATAATCGTCCGCTGCGAAAGCCCGTTCCAGTGTGGATCCAGCGGACGGTGCCCAACACTGCTGTGCACGTACCCCACACCCAACCGTACATACAGGGCAGACGAACAAAGCCGACTCGAGCGTCCAGGCATTCACTCGGTTGCGATCGAGTGCTAGCGACGTTCCTTTCCCGCGGCGAGGCTGTTTGATGCCCCTATCTGGTCTGCGTTTCGTCAACGCGGACGGTAGCGTTGGGTGCGATTAGCCAGCGTAGACGTGCCACCGCACCCGAAGGTCCACCTAGTGGTGTGTCGCACTCGTGAGCTCGCACTCTTGAAATTGCCATGTCGTTCCCGCTGCCGACCGACTTTTTCGAGTGCCCACGCTTGGAGGCGGTCGAGAAGGAGTACCTTATCAACCTCGCGCTCAAGGCGTGCCACGACACGGTGCGCAACGCGATCCAGTTGCAGTCGGCGCCAATCGAAGCCGTCCTCACGAGCGACAAGACCAAGCGCCATGCACGCGTATGCACATTTTCTTCCGCACGAGTATCCTGATCATAATGTCGTCGTTCATAGATTCGCCGCGGCACTGACATTATCAACAAGTCACTCGCCGTGAGCTGCGCGTACACGCAAATTCAGTCGTCGATCGAGGAGGTCGCCGACTTCTTCTACCTCGACTCGCTCCCGAAACTCCGCGCGTATGCTCGAACCGTCGGCCAAGTCGTCTTGGACCGGCAAACTCTCTACACGCTCGTGCCCCGGGAGCCCGCGGGTGGACGACTGCACTACATTGGCATCGATTGGATGGCGATCGAGTGCCCCGTGCTCGTCGCCAACCGCGATGCGTGCTTTCTCGAATGCCACGAAGAGTTTGAGTTTTTGGAGCCGGGAACAAACGCCCTTCGCCGCGGCTTTGTGCGCTCGATGCACTCGGTGGACCTCGACTGCTGCCCGCCGCTGAAAGAGAGCCACAACGTCGTGCGGCTGTCGTTTGTGCGGGTACGAATTTGGCCTGTGAATGATAGAATTTGGCTAAAGGCGCGTGCGATTAGAGTGGGCACGTGTTCATCGAGACGGACGAGCCCGGCTTGCTCAACTACTACAGCGTGTACGGGACGCAGCCCAACGGCAAGACAGTCAAAGCCGTCGCCTTTGCGGTGCAGCACAAGCAGTGCGCGCGGGTACCGTTTATTACGGGAATTTGCGTCGTTTTGACCGTAAATTTGGTGTAGATTGCGCGGCTCGAAGAGCACTTGCAGTACCAGCGCATGGTGCAGACGCTAGGCAACATGGCCAAGACGCCGCGCCCACTTCAAAACAAGACCGACGCGGCCTTTTGCGGGCGCTGCGACAAGAAATTCCAGCTCTTTAGCACCAAAAAGCACTGTGAAATGTGCGGCATCGTACGTCCCTTTCGACAATCGTGGACCTTGTGCAACGTTCGTTAGGTGGTGTGCTCGAGCTGCTGCCAAAAGCACGAAGTCGTCTTGCAGCTCACGCCCTCGACGTACCTTGTGTGCACGTACTGTTTTACGAGCGGCCGCGAGGTCAAGCCCCTCCCCACGTCGCCCAGTATGCCTCCGCAAAATGGATGTCCGAGGCGGCTGACCATGATGCATCGTAGTGCGCTGTGGTGTCATTGCGGACTTCCAGCGGTCGTCGGCTGGCAGCCGCAGCGTCTCGCGCCGGTCCAGTGACACGTCGAGCACGTGCACAAAGCTGAGCTGGACCCACTCGGCTGTGAACGCAACCCCGAGTGTCGGCGACGAGAAGGACAACTTTGTTTTGCTGGATCTGACCAAAGACATTGAGAACCTCCGCTTTCACTTTTCCCCGCCGCCACCGGGACGCCGCGAAAAGTCGGCCTCGCTGCAGTACTACATGGACGCCGACCTCAAGCAGCCACCGCCCGCGCGGCCCCATCGCGCGACGACCTACTCATCTCTACTCGAGTAGACAATCCTTCCTCTATATATAATTCTAGTACTTTTGCTAGTCACCTACATATTCTGAGTCTAGAGATCACGAGGGTCCTAGTAGCGGTGAGTAGGAGGCCCACCCCTGACCCTATTGCTATGGTTTGGTCGCGCGGGTTCGCGTGATTCCTACACTCAACCAAGCTGTGTGGGCTTCATGACAGGCAGCAAAGAGTGCTTAACACCCAGCCAATACAGAACTGAAGCCATAGGAAGCTCAACTGGGAAGCTCCGTCGTTTCCTGAGAGCTTTCCTGAGCGTCGTACCACCGTGCGACAAACGAGCCTTCCTAAGGGGACGTACGGTCTCGGCATGCTTGCGGGGAGGACCATCGAGCTGGTCATCTCCTCTGCACCGACACAAGGGTCCATCAGTGGAGACCCTTGACCAAGATCATTTCACTTCCGTAGAACTTTGGCTCGGGTTGGCACATTGCGATCTTCGGCGGGATTCCGCGGACGATCCGGATGCAGCAGCTGGTTGTCGAAATATCTTTTGGCGGGCCACAATAAAATTCCGCGGCCGCCACGGGCCATTGCCTTGCAGCTCATTCTTGCGATGACCATCGGGAAGAGCGAGCTCGCTGCGGCGACGTTTGGCGTCGGTCTCGGTGTTGGCGCCCTCCTCCACAAGCTCGCGTCTCGCCCAACGACGACGACGCCCGCGCAAGAAGGCACGAGCGAGGTCCTGCGCCTCATTCGGCCCAACGTCCTGCGCCTCACGCCGTACCGCTGCGCCCGCGACGACTACGACCAGGGCATCCTCCTTGACGCCAACGAGAACAGCCTCGGCCCACCGTTGGCTGCCGAGCATGAGCTCGCCGGCGCGGGCCTCGAGCGGTATCCATGCCCGTACCAGCGAGAGCTCAAGACGACAATCGCGTCCTTCCGGTACCGACGACTCATATGTGCTGCATTGCATCACCATGCTCACTTGCAGGAACGGCGCGCACGGCACGCTGACGCCGGCCAACCTCTTTCTGGGCGTTGGCAGCGACGAGGTCATCGACCTCATGATCCGCGTCGCGTGCTCGCCGCGCGAAGACGCCATTTTGATCACGCCGCCGACGTACGGCATGTACAGCGTCTGCGCCAACATCCACGACGTCGACATCATCTCGGTGCCGCTCGTCCGCACGGCGACGACGCCGCTGCCGTCATTCCACATTGATCCGCGCGCGATCCTGGCCGCCGTGACGCCCGCGACCAAGATCATCTTTCTCTGCAGCCCGGGCAACCCGACGGCCAACTGCCTCCGCCTCGCCGACATCAAGGCCGTGCTCGAGGCCAAGGTCCGACTCGATGACCTCTGTCTACCTACTCACACGTGGCGCGGAATAGAGCTACAAGGGCTTTGTGTTTGTCGACGAAGCGTACGTCGACTTTGCCGACCAGCCGAGTCTGAGCACGCTCGTGACAACGTACCCGCGGCTCATCGTGGCGCAAACACTCTCCAAGGGCTTTGGCCTCGCCGGCATCCGCCTCGGCATCGCCTTTGGCAACCCCGAGCTCATCCAGATCCTCAACAACGTCAAGGCACCCTACAACATCAACAAGCTCACGGCCAAGGTACACTTTTTTACTGCAAATTTTCTGACGATCTAAATGCGGTAGGTGGCGGCCGATGCGCTCGCCAACGTGAGCCTCTTGCACGACAAGGTCCAGTTGATTGTCGAGGAGAAGGCCAAAGTCATTTCGGCGCTCCAAGCGCTGCCGTTTGTGCACCAAGTGTATGCGTCGGACGCCAACTTTGTCTTGTTCCAGTGCGACAATGCGTATGCGGTCTACAAGGACATGGCCGAAGCCGGCGTCGTGATCCGGTACCGCGGCAACCAGCTCCTCCTCGATAGCTGCCTCCGCGCGACGATCGGGTCCTCGTCCGAGAACGACCGCATGCTCGAGCTCTTTGCATCGGTCTCGCGCCGGCTAGCACAGGCCTAGTGCCGTCCTCAGCGTCGAGTCTAGTACCTGCTATAAGATAGCAAGCGTATACAGTCAAGCATTTCGATTGCGTCCATGGACCGCTAAGCTATACAACAACCTCGAGCCAACTTAGTCGGTTTTGGCTTTAGTCTTGGCGTCCAAGTGCTCGAGGACCATCTCTGCGATCTCGCAGTGCAGGAGAGTGCAGAAAGCGCCGACCACGAGCCCCAGCACAAAGAAGATCTAGGCGTCGCGTCAGAGGCTGCGGGGGAAGATGGACTACCTGCTCGCGGACGTCGTAGATGCAGACGCCAAGCGCCAAGGCGACGCAGGTGAACGCGCCCGAGAAGGCGACGCGCACCACGAGCTGGCGCCGGCCCTTGTTCAGATGCCACACCAAGAGCGGGATGGCCGCGAGTGCATACCCCGCCAGCGTCCAGTACAATATGCGGGAGCTAATTCGTCATGAGTCGACTCGTGGACAGATCGAGTGGACGTACTAGAGGCCCTCGAGCACTGCGTCGCGCCACGACACCTAGAGCGACGAGTTAGTTGGTGTCGCTAGCGCGCCACGTCATACCGTCTCGAGGTGGGCGTAGAGCGTGCGAGCGGTCTCAGCCAGACGGTCCATCTTTTGGTTTCTCGGATATTTCGAGGATGCGCGAGCTCGGTTTCGTCTGCGAAACGTTGAGCCGACACGAGACCAAGGCGATGGCGGCGACGCGCCGTAAGGGCTTCTTCCTCTTTCTCCTGCAAGGTTGCCATGTCCTTTCTGTCCGTAGGGCTCTCGATGCGCAGCGATGATGACGATAGCTGGCTGCGTACGACGACCATCCTTGTCTCGCCCTGCGTGTTTGGCTCAATGGCGCTGTAGAGGGCGGTGGTTCGAACCCCGGGTCGCCGCTCAGCGCCTCGCGCAACTTTGATCCGGGTACGCACGACAATGGCTCTTGTCAGTAGCAACATGGCGCATGCAGAGTTTGACATCATGGACATTCTGGACTCGCGCGCGCCCGCGTTCGAGGTACACATGTCGACCCGTCTCGATCTCAGCTGGTGTAGTCGCCGGCCAAGGCGTCACTCACGCGCAAGTCGTCCGCCGCCTCCATGCACCGCTCCGCGTCGAGTAGCGGTCGCGAGGTAGAAGGTTTGTTTCGAGACTGCAGGCTGCAGCGGTGGCGAATCTAGGACACGCGGTCGCAGCAGTCGTCGTCGCCAACGTTCAACGACGACGATAACGACGACGACGATGGGACGTCGTTCAACTGGTCGATGAGCCCACCGCCGAGAAGCGTGGCCTCTGAAACGCTGTACCACGACATACAGACGGCGGTGGACGCCGTCGTTGACCGCCTGGCCCAAGAGTCACCGACACCGTATGATGAAGTCTCGCCCACGCACAAAACCGAAGTGCGCGCAAAGGACGAGGCGCCTGAGGTCGCGGATGGCAACGGCGATCTGCTGCTCATCATGGAGGTCGTGATTGGCGACGGGCGCACCGAGAACATTCATATCCACCGCCACGACCGCGCCGACGCATTGGCCACGTCCTTTGCCCGTACATACGGCCTTGGAGACGGCGTCATTCCGACGCTCATTGAGCACATTAGCCAGCAAGTCGCCTCCATGGGCTTGTCGCTTGCGCCGACGACAGTCACGGCGACGCCCCATCCTATCGTAGAAGACAAGGAAGCGCAGTACCTCGCCATGATGGACAAGTACGCCGCGTTGCAGCGCCGTAGCAAAGACGCACCGGCGGTCGCGGCGACGGCGTTCAACCAGCTCAAGCCCTCGAAACTCAAAGCGTCGAAAACCGCCAAGTCGACGCCGGCGGCTTGCGAGCGGCTTCATGCCCTCGCGCGCACGCGCAGTGAATGGCGCGCGCGGGAGCTCAAGCGCAAGGAGGACGACGTCACCCGCGAGATCGAGTCCCGCAAGCTACGCCTCGCTGAAAAGTCCAAAGCGCTGGTCGCGAACCGCACCAACGGCGGCCACCGGTCGATTGGGGATCGGCTCCACAGCGAAGCGCTTTCGGAGGCCGCGCGCCGGGACAAGATGGCGGAGACGCGGCGGCGGGAGAAGGAGGCGCAGATCGACTGGATGTGCCCGAAATGCGCGCACTTCAACAAGTTTGCCGACAAGACGTGTCAAAACCGAACGCTCAAAGCCGGTGCTGCGACGCGCAAGGCCAGCAGCCACAAGCCAAAAGGCGTTTGCGGCATGGCCAAACCGATGCTCTTCACGCCGACGTTGCTCTCGACCGGTCCGTCCAAGAAGGCCGAGGACACGGAGCAGCTGCTCGTGCGGCGACAAAAGCACCAAGAAATGGCCCAAGCACTGTACAATACGACCCACACGTTTGCACCGCAGCTCAACCCGAACTCACAAGACATTGTGCGGGAGAAGCGCGGCGAGACGCACGACGCGTACGCCGCCTTATACGACGACGCGGCCACCCGGCGCCAAAAGCAAACCGAGAAGGAAGCCGCGTACATCGCATCGATTCCGTTCAAGCCCGACATTGGCCTGCACACGCAAGGCGGTGGTGACTGGGTCGAGCGCCTCGCAGTCACCGACAAGACGGACGCCAAGCGGCGAGACTTGCTCGAGAAGTACGGAGCTGCGAACGACCCGGTGACCGGGCGCGCGCTCTTCAAGCCAGACATCGGGCGGCCACCCCAGTTTCCGCGCAACGACACAAAGCTCCCGATTGGCGAGTTCTTGTACGAGTCGCGGCACGAAGTCCGCGCGCTTCGGGCGACACTCGAGGCGGAATCCGACAAGCGGCGCAAAGCCCGGCAGACCCAAAGCTTTCTCTCGTCCACGTCCAAAGCCATGTTGGAGGCGCGCAAGGCCAAGAGCTACGACGTCGTTTACGGGCTCTTGCAAGTGGCGTGCGGCCAGCCAAGTGACGCACCCGTCTTCGATCCGGCCAAGCTCCCAATCGATGCGCTGCCACCCGACTTGAGCCACATTGCACTGAGCCTCTTTGACGTCTGTGGGTTTGAGAGCATACCCAAAGCTGAGTTTTACAACCGGATGGAAACGACGCTCGCGCAGTCGCCGGGGTTGACACACACACAAGTGCTCTTCTTCAGCGACAAACCGCCGGCAAAGCCAACGGCCGCGCTGGCGGCCGCTGCCGAGGCCAAAGAGCTCACGTTTCGACCGAAAATCAACCCAACCTCGAGTACGATCGAGCGTCGGCAAAAGGATATGAGTGTCTTTGACGCTCTGCACCAATATCAAAAGACGTACGAAGCGAAACGCAAGGCCAAGCAAGCGCAGATGGACGAGGTGCTCACGAAGGCGTGTCCGTTCACCCCAACGCTTGTCGCGAAGGGGTCGCACCTCGACAACATGTACGACAACCTCCCGGACGACGACAGCTTTGACGACGATGATGCGGTTATTCTCCAAACCTCCAAGCCCCTCGCGCGCCCGTATGTGCGGCCGCTCGACGAAGAGTGGCCCGTCGAAGAGCCGCTGCTGCCCGTGAACCGGTCGCCCGTAGGCCCAACGCGACCTCAGCTTCTCATGTTTGGCGAGACGCCGCCTCTTGAGAAGGCGACAGTGTTCGAGCCGAGGGCATTCACGCTCCAGCAACCGAATGTCGAGGACCATCCTGCCGATGATGAGGACGTGATGAACGAGGAGAACGACGACGAGGAGGATGTAGCAACCGAGATGGCTGTGCACCCGATTCCATCGCCGGCGCGCTGGGCGGAGCGAGTCGCACTCTTGGGCCCGATTCCCGAAGAGAAACTGCGCAAGGCGTCGCCGATGCAGCTGCTCTTTGGGCGTCCGACAAAGTTGCCAACCGACAATGATGATGACCAGGGCGAAGAGGATGGTGGCGATGTCGGTCCTATGACGACCAAGGACACAAGTCTGCGACCGCCCAACGAGCTCCCTCTGGAGGCGACACCCCCAGAGGCGTCAGAGTGCTTTTGAAATGAAGTCAAGTCGATTGTCTTCGTCTTGAGCGATTAAGCTATTAAGAGGTGGTACTACGTGCATCTGTGCAGACAAAAGCTATTTGGTGTGGAAATACTTAAGTGTACATTTCGAATGATTCTCAAATTTCCCTTTACTAATACTAGTATAGCACAACTAAGCTCATCATGTTGGGTGTTGGGTGTTGTTTGGTTGTTGACCAGGACTTGCGAATGATGGTCGAATGACGGTGTGTACTTGGCTACGGCAATTCACTTCTTTTCGGGACCAATCACAGCGTGGGATTTCATCGCCGGATACGGCCAGTTTGCTTTTGACAGCGAGAAGAATGTGGGCGACGCTCGAGCAAGGCTACACTGCACTGACGTCAACCGAGTCGGCGACTGCCAAGACGCTGCGCTACGCGTGCGAAGCGGGCGACGCCGAAGCGGTGCGCCGCCTTCTCGTGCAGGCGAGCCCTTCGGATATCACGGCGGCGGACCCGAGCGTACACGTTGACGCCTCGATATCTGCGCTCACCAAAGCCTGTATTAGACGGGCCGCATGGGCCTGCACCTCGCCAGCATGAACGGATACGAGCGTGTACTCTCGGCGCTGCTGCCGTTTCTCGACGACATTAACCAGCGCGACGATGTACGACCTTTGCCCACGGCGTCGAAACGACCCTGTCGCTGCTGTAGAAAGGGTGCACGGGCCTCCATCTCGCCCTCCAGCACGGTAGAGATGACGTGGCGAAGATGCTTCTGCGCCATGTTGCGGCCGATGTCAACGCCGCCGACAACGTACATTGTCTTCTTGGATCGGTCATCGGAACCGATCTATGTTAGTTGGGCGAGACACCACTCATGCTCGCGTGCGCCACAGGCAAAGCGGACTTCGTGAGCGCTCTTTTAGCGTGTCCGTACGTGGAAATTCTCCGCCAAAACAAGGTGCCTCTATATAACGTTAGCAACCACTCACATGGTGCGTGCGTAGGCGGGCGATACGGCGTTGCACGCGGCCGCCCGCGCCGGTCGTGCCAACTGCCTTCGACTGCTCGTGCGCGCATCGGGTCTCACGGACGTCAACTGCCCGAATCCGGTTTATCATCCGAGACGTTTCCATCTCGTTCGGATCATGCTTGTGGCGTAGGTGAATGGCGAGACGGCGCTCATGGCTGCGCACGCTTCGCACTACGCGACACGAGCGCTCCTGAGCCACCCATCGATCGACATCAACCGCACTGACAATGTCCATACGATCTGCTTGCGCGAATCACTTAGGGTATGTTTGTAGAATGGCAACACGGCATATATGGTTGCTTGCTCCCACGACAACATGGAGACGCTCCAAGAACTCGTCCGCGCGCCCGGCCTCGACATGAACCGCACCAACCACGTAGCGACATTGACGGTTGGTGACAGTGCATTTACGGAAGCATAGAATGGCCTTACGGCGTATGCGCTGGCCTGCCAAGCAGAGAACCCGATGCTGGCGGCTTACCTCTTGCAGTTGCCGGGCATCGACGAGCGCCACGTCCCGACGGCCGTACGTCCTCTTTGCTCGACAGCAATACCACCACCTTTGCACATAGGGCGGACACATTGCGCTGGCGGTGGCGAGTGCGTTGCACCGTGTCGAGTCGGTCCGAGCGCTGCTGGCGTCGCCCGCGATCAACCCCAACTACTGCGATGCAGTACGCAGACTCTTCTAGTCGTTCGTTGTGTGGACACCTGCGGGATCTAGAGTGGCATGACTGTCTTGCTCCAGCTGTGTTTGAACTCGGGCAGTGAAGAGATTGCCAGTCTCCTTCTCGCAATCCCAACCATCGATACCAATGTTCGGGACAAGGTAGACTGCAATAGGTATCTCCGTACTGAGTGAACGGTCCGTCCTAGCATGGCAACTCGTGCTTGACGCTGGCGGCACAGCAAGGCCACGCGGGTCTCGTCTCACTGCTGCTCGGCCACGGGGCGTTTGACGTCAATCATACCAACAAGGTGCACGCATCCATCATATCCTGATAACCTGATACTCTGATATATTGATATTTTGAAATGCTAAATTTCTGAGATGTTGACTATTGTAGGACGGTCTCTCGGCGCTCATGATTGCGTGCGTTTCCAAAGACGCCGCGATCGCGTCGCTCTTGCTGCAAATGCCAGCGATTGACCTCGCTCTGCGCGAGAAGCGCGTACGTGATGACGCACGATGACGCGTCCAAGAACGACCAATCAGTCTTTTGTGTTGTAGACTCAGCGCACGGCTCTCATGCTGGCCAGCGTCCACAACGCCGGCGCCATCACAGCCTTGCTGCTTGCGCACCCGCGCCTTTTGGACCGGAATGCAGCCGACATTGTAGTTCATTGAGTGCATGGACGGGAGGGGACAGATGCTGCGTAGACCCAGTCGACCGCGCTCGTTTTGGCCGCGCAGCACAACGCACGCGACGTGGTCAAGGCGTTTGCATCGGCCAGCACCGCCGTCGATTTTGCTGCTGTCAATTCTGTCCGCTTCTTCGATGACGGCATCCGACGATATTCATTCGGAGGATCTCTAGGCTGGCGACTCGGCATTTCGCGTTGCCGTGGTTCACGGCTACATCGATGTGGCGCGCGACCTTTTGCCGTTTATTGACGTCAACGCCCCGCACCCGACGGTATTTTTCGTTTTTTTGCAGGAAATAACGTCGTGTGCTCGATAGACGGGGCAGACAGCGCTTATGCTCGCGTGCGCGCAGCCGTTCCCGCGCACGATCAAGCTGCTCGTAGCGACGCCCGGCATTGCCATCAATGCGCTCGACCAGGTACGCGATATGGCTCTGTTCGTCTCGCTGAGCGACGAGGTCCTAGGCGGGAGAGTCGGCGCTGCTTGTGGCCTGTCGCTGGAACAACGTACCCGCTTTGCAGCTCCTCTGCGCACTGCCGTCGTTGGACCTCTTTGTGTGCAGCAAGGTTGGCTTCTCCGTTGTGGCACTGGTGTATGATTTGGTGGTCCGTAGACAAAGGCGCATGCGTTGGAGATTGCGGCGGCACAGGACGATCCGCAAGTGGCCGCGACGCTCTTCCATTGCCTCTTTACGATGCACATGCATCTTGCTCTTCCGCGCGAGCTCGCCGAGATGATGGCGACCTTTTATGGTCCCCGATGCTAGTGAAAGCTATCACCAAGATTTCAACCGGTTGGGATATTTGAAACGTCCAGCGCCGATTTCGTTGCCGTCGCGACCGCTAATCGCTCGGCTTCATAATGGCTTTGTTCACTGTAGAAGAGACTCGAGATGCGAGTAGGCTGAGTGGTTCAGACTGTAGGAAGCGTAGTTTGCGCGGATATTGGGCCCTATATGCTACACCGTCGTCAACAGCCGTGCATCTTTGTGAAATACGATGGATCTCGACCAACTGAGCCACACATTGTGCACAGATGACCTATCGTCAAACCTGCATATCAAACATTTTACTAGTGTATCACTTTTATAGTTGGATTCGGCTACACGCATCTCCAACACCGACTTCTTACATCGCAAAGTGCAGTCGAAAGACCTACTTGGTCACAATACGACTAGAATCCTCCACGATGCAACGTAATTGAAGATCGCCGACTCGCGCTAGAAAAGACAGTTGGCATATTAACCTCGCACTAGTAGTCGGAAGCCATCGCCCACTTGGCGCGCCGGGCGGCTTGATGGGCCTCCTCGACGGCAGCGACGGCGTCAGGCGTCACGGCCTGCTCAAGTACGTGCTGCAGATACGCTTTGAGGGTCGCATCGGTCACCTTCTGGAGCCACGCAAGCAGCTTCTCCACGTACTTGGTGGCGTCGACCCAGACAAAATGCACGAAGAGCGTCGCGAGGCCCCAGTCCGCAATGCCCGACTTGAAGAGCACCCGTTGCTGCATGCCCCGAACCTCTGGTTGAAGGTACGACGTGGTCGCGCCGCGCTCCAGAAGCGCTTCCGTGAGAGCCTCGATCTCGGTGCCGGCGTGGATGTAGCGGCAGTTGGCCGCCGTCGCCTGAGCGATCATCTCAGCCTTGAGCAGCAGCAGCGGCGACTTGGTAAAGTAGCGCACCTCCTTGTCGATCCAGTCGACGAGGAAGATGAGGTTGTCGATCGGGTCGTTCGGGTGCAGACAGTACGGCAGAATAATCTTCATCATCTCAAAGCTGCGACGGTGGATGTTCTCGACAGCGACAGTCCGAGGCTGCCCGACGCCAGCTTCCAGGAGGAGCGTAAGGGCTTTGGGCGACTTGTTGTTGCATACAACAACCTCGAGCAAGTAGTCGTGGCGCAGCTCTGGCTGACGCGTCCAGAGCTCCGAGACCAAGTCCAAGTCTTCGTCCCACAGCGCTTGCTGGATTTCATCCAGGCCACAGAACTTGAACGGGAAACTTGGGGCCGCAACGTTGGTTGTCTCTGGCGCGTGTTGGAAGTAGAACTCAGCGATTTCCTTATTGCTAAAGTAGAAATCTTTTGCCCACGAGGATGGCAGCGCGACGCCTTGCGCGACGTAGAGCTGCATGAGCACGAGGGCACCTGGGTCGCGCACCACCAGCCGAAAGCTACCGCTCGACGGAAGGGGGTAGCCCGCCGCGACAAGGCGCAGGACGATCTCCATGTGACCGTGATCAAAGGCTCCTTGCGGGGCACCGTCCCGGCTTCCCCCTTCGCGTCGGTGCGTCAAGAGGTAGTCCACGACGTCGAGGTGCCCGTTCTTTGCGGCTTCGTCGATGGCGGCAGTCGTGCACGCAAAACACCCGAGCTCGTCCAGATAGATGACGATGTCCAGATGGCCTTTGGCGGCCGCGGTGTCCAAAATGTCCAAAATGTCGGACGACGCGCCCTCGTCACGGTGCGCCACGAGAAACCGAACGACACCAAGATGGCCCTCGACCACCGCTCCACGGAGCGCAGCCGTCGTGCAGTTCTCGGCTCTCTTCTCGTGCAAGAAGGCAACGACGTCAAGATGGCCGTTGGTCGCAGCCCAGACCAACGCCTCGGCTGTGCAGCCTTCACTTCTCTTCTCGTGTAAGAAGGTGACGACTTCGAGGTGGCCGTTGGCGGCAGCCCGATCCATGGCCTCCGTCGTGCAGCCTTCAGCTCTCTTCTCGTGTAAGAAGATAACGACGTCGAGGTGGCCGTTGGCAGCGGCGTTGTCCATGGCTTCGGTCGTGCAGCCTTCAGCTCTCTTCTCGTGTAAGAAGATGACGACGTCGAGGTGGCCGTTGGCAGCGGCGTCGTCCATGGCTTCGGCTGTGCAGTCGAGTCCGCGAGCGTGCAATGCCTCGACCAAAGACAACTGGCCTTGCCCCGCCACCGCGTCAAAGAGGCCATGAAGCGCCGACGTCGGTAGGTGCTCGATCAAAAACCCAAGTGCGTCAAACGCTTTGAGCTCAAGCGCTGTACGGGCGAGATCGTCGCTATCCCAATCGCGCTGCCGATGCGCCCAAAGCAGCGCCAAAATGGACACGTTGTTCTCGTAGAGCGTCGAGCGGCAAGAAGGCAGCCAGTCGTCGAGAAGCCGCGACGGCCGGCCTTGGCACTCGTCTTCAAAGTTGGGGGGGTGAGTTTCGGTTTTTATCGCTCAATGGCGGGGCGCGTCAAACACCACGACCAAGGCGCATGTGCAGCGCAAGATGACCAAGAAGGCTGCCACCAAGCTGCCACCAAGAAGGCTGCTGCCACGACGCCGCCCACACCACCTCCAGCGGTCACGACGCCAGACGCGGTGTCCAAGGCCGCAACGGTGTCCAACGCCAACCATGTTTTGTTTTGCCTCGAAACCGCGCTCCAAGGAACGCTATCCCGCAGTGGTTGTTGGAAGCTGAATCCAATCGGGAGCACGACTGGCGAGGACCTTGGAAAATTGCACCACGTAGATTCACCACGACTTGGACACACGGAGAGCACCTTCTGTCTCGTGGTGCCCGCCCTCGCTGGCGAGGAAGTACAGCGGTACGGCGACCTTCTTGGCGAAGGAATACGTGGACTTGCGGAACTTGTAGTCGCTCGTGTAGACGCGGAGGGCGGACACAAGAGCTCGAAACGTGGCTTGGGAGCAGCAGCTGGCTTGGGAGCAGCGGAGGTTGTTGATGAACCACTGGTTGTAGCGAGGATCGGGAATCATGTCATCGAACTCGACCTCTATTGCGGTTAGAATGTTGAATTTGTCCTCGCGCATGACGTCATGAGCCACAGCAAGCGCAGCTCCAGCACAGGCCACATGTGCCACCCCCACCGACGCAAAACGATGCGTGCGGTCCATTCGCAGTCCAAGAGTGAGTTGACTCGCAAATGTGCGTTCGCAAACCAGGCAAATTTTGGCCAACGTCAAAGGCTACCGGATAATTTTATCCGTAAGGTTCGGCAGCTGCACGTTTGTAAAAAGAGCCAACTCGAGTTGAAGTGAACGTTTGGAGACCAGCGCCTCAGCTCAGTCGCCCATATGAAATGCACACCTAGCTGGAAACTGGAAATGCAGCAAACCTTTTTTACATTTAGTGTCGGCCAAGGCGACTCTGACTAAATCTCGAGGTTAACCAGACTATCAGACTATCACCACTTGGACTAGAACTTGGACGGTTGTAAGTTGCACAAACACAAAGTTTAGTCGGCGTGGGAGGCTCCCAACAACGCGGATACTCTGTCAGATACTCTGTCAGATACTCTGTATCCGCGTCGTGGGACAAGAATCATTCTTTTCGACCAATCAGAGGAGAGATGACACCATGTGTTGTTCGGATGAGTTGTCGGGTTGTGGTTCTCCAACTGCGTTTCATTTGGCGATTTTGCACTTGGGGTCCACAGAGTCTTGATCAACATGGACCGACACCACACCGTCGACACGGTACTACCTGTCCCCAGTCCGATCGTTCGCTTAGGCCACGTACATTAGCTCGGCCAGTCGAGCTTGATGCAGACCATCCAAAACGGTGACCTTGCGCAGGTCCAGCGACTTGTTGCGGTCGACAACCCCGAGGCGAAGCACCTCCTCGTGACGACGCAGCTGGCTGCAACGACGGAGCAGGTACTTTAGCCGTCTACACTACGCTCTCTGCACGTGACGACGTCTAGTTGGGCCAAACAGCACTCCACGTGGCTTGCCTCTACGGGAACGTGCCGATTTTCCAGGCCTTGCTCGACGTCATGCCGGACGTCAACGTCCGCGACAAGGTCCGTCCGCTTGCACCTACACTAGGTGGCTCATCGCCTTGTAGGCGGGTGCGACAGCGCTGCACTATGCGATTACCACCCGACGGGAGGGTGTCATCTCGGCGCTCATGGCCGCGCCGGGCGTCGACATCAACGCCGTCGACGAGGTGCGCGTCACAAAATCATTTCTTATTATAAAAAGTGTCGTGTAGGCCGGCAATACCTTGCTGATGTACGCATGCTACTGCAACAACGTCGCCCTCGTCCAGACACTGCTCGCGGGACCTCGTCGCTTGAGCTTCACGCAGTACAACCACGTACGACAAGCGCGCTCTTCACCAACGTATATTGAGCGCTGAGCTGTAGGCCGGGCTTTCGGCGCTGCACATTGCAGCGCAGCGAGGCTTCTCCAGCTGCATCCAAGAGCTGCTCGATGCCAACATCTTTGGCGTGAACGCCACCACGGTACAAAGGTCGTCATCTCGCAGCGTCTTCTCATGTTTGATCTAGTTGGACGGCCGCACGTGCCTTATGCTCGTCAAGAATGCCGTCGAGACGGCTGGGATGCTTCTGCGGTACCCAGGCATCGACGTCAACCTCGCGTCCGAGGTAAAATGCGAGCATTCTCAAGAAGCTTCACGCGAGATGTTGCAGGACGGCAACACTGCCCTCTTGCACGCCTGCCTCGGTGGTCATGACGACATGATTGCGTACCTCCTGAGTCTCCGCTCGGTCGACGTGAACGTGACCAACGCCGTGCGACGTCCTTTATCTGTTCATTTGGTCATAAAGTCCTCCGTAGAGCGGCGACTCGGCGTTCCGGTTCGCCGTGCGCACTGAGAATGCATTTCTCGCCGCCCAAATCGTGCAAACCACCAGCTTTGACGAAGAGCACGTGACGCCCGAGGTGCACAGACCTTCATAATCCCAGCTGACGTTTGGGGACGGTAGTGCGGTCCTATTGCACTCTCCGTCGCGTGCGCTTTGCAGCGTGTCGGGCTCGTCCGTCGCCTCGTCGCGTCGCCGCACACCGACTACAACTACAAGGACAAGGTACGACAAGAATGCGGGGTCTCGAGTTCAACAAGCTGGGTAGAACGGACTCACCGTGCTGCTCCAAGTATGTTTGAGCCCCTCCACGGACCTGACGATCTTGAACATTTTGCTGGCGCTGCCCAATGTGGACACCAACGCGACAGACATGGTACTATTGTCCATATCCAAAGAGTATATGGACGACGTGTGCATGGCTAGCGCGGAAATTCGTGCCTCATGGTCGCCGTCCGCAACGACCGCGTGGATCTCGTGCGTGCACTCCTTGCAGTTGAAGCCACCAACTTCAACTTTGCCAACGAGGTAAACGGTTACCTCGAATGGTACAACCGCAGTACGCGATGCACAGAAGGGTGATACGGCGCTCACCATCGCATGCGAACAAGCCAACTACCCGATCGCCGAAGTCCTTGTCGCGCTGCCGACGCTCGACGTCAACCACCGGCGCAAGGTCCGTCACTGCATCGAATTTGTCGCTGAATGAAGACGTAGGACAATCGACCCGCGTATCGCGTCGCGCGGAAGAAAGGCGTGCGAAAGATTATGCAGCTGCTCACGACCCACCCGGCGTTTGAAATGCCACCCGATGCCGACGAGGATGCGATCGGCGACCACGACTGGACGCTCCGAGGCTGCCTCCGCGAAGTGGGCGCCTTCTTCCTGATTTTAGGCCAGATTTGTCAGCCCTGCGCCTGGTGCTGCTTCGGGTACGCCATTTCTGATTAGCATCGAGCGACTAAGAAAAGCATTGTACCTGCGTCTCCTCCTACACACAGCTATTGTCGGTGGGGCGATACAGTGTCTGAGGCCAGGGGTTCACATTTGGTGGATGGGTATAAGACACTGGTTAACCACAGGTAGATCCGGGTTCCAAAGAGAGCTTCTCTGTCTGATGACACCCAAGGGGCCCTTGGTGCACCCTGCCTCGTGCTATTGTTGCATCGATGAGGGTCATTCTGCCTTGAAAGGCAGCGCTCCCGATCTGCTGCGAGAGTGGACGACACAGAGATACACTAGCAACTAGTACGCAAACGTGACGTGTTTGGCGTCGACGTAGAGGTGCCCGAGCCCCGGATTGATCGCGTGGACAAGACCAGATGCGGAGGGACCGTAGACGCAGCCTCGTGGCGTGACCGAGAGCAACGTTGCGGGCCCGAACGGCGTCTGGATCGGATCACCGTGGCGCATCTCGAGCGCTTGGTCGTGGGCGTCGACAGAGGAGAGGACAATTCTGTACAAAATATCGTCGACGCGCAACGTCGCAAAGCCAAAGGGGAACCGCACGCAGAGCAGACCGCGTCCATAGCTACGTGATCGGAATGATGAACTATACCACTAGGCGATCTCGTACTTGGTGGCCGTGACGATGCCGCAACCAAAGAGGCGGCACATCACGCGGTCGCTCGGTTGCAGGATGCTCGCAGGGTTCAGAAACGCCGACTGGGCCCAAGCAAATTTGACTTCGATCTGCGCTCCGGCATGCCGCACCGCGAGCACAACGGCAGGACCGAACACAGTAGCAATACTGTCTCCCACACCTAGCACGGTCGCTTCGACCTGTTTCCATCGCCATTGAGAACGTACTGGTGGTCGACGCATGCGCGGGCGGTAAATGGCCTTTGGCAACGAGGAGCTTATAAGCGACTTTGACGTCCATGATGAAGCGGTGGAGCAAGCCAAGGACATAGTCGGAGCTCGAAGACGGACTCTCGCCGAGGTACTGCGCGGCTTGGAGCCACGCTTCCGTCATGACGGTCACGTCGTCTTGGAGCTTGGCGAGGTCCTCTGCGATATCTGCGGCTTGCTTTTCCATGACCGTCACAAAGGGAAGGACAACGGGAGCGACAACGACTGGCGTCGTCGCATTCGTTGGAACATTTCGCGTTTCCTTGCGAATCGCGGCCAAGAGAGCATTACGACCTCCCGTAGCACTCGGCTCGGGCGAAGCAGGTGTCGTTGGAGTTGACTTTGGCTGACGAAGCGCAGTCATGAGAGCAGCACGAGAGTTGTCTGTCGCCGCGGCAGTCTTTGCTGTTGCCGAGTCGGGGCTTGGTGTGCGAAGGGCAGCCATGAGAGCAGCACGGGGGTTCTCCCCGCCGGCCTCGTGGGTCGACGCTTTCTTTTTGATCGCAGCAAACAGCGCTGCGCGAGGGTCTGCGGGTGGAGAGGCCTCGGCGGCACGACTCGTCGATTCCGTCTGGTTCTCAGAGCGCTGGCGAATTGCTGCCAGCAACGCATGCTGCGGAGTGGTGGCGGGAGGACTGGCAACGTCTTTAGTGTTGGCGTGCTGCTGCCGGATTGCTGCGAGGAGGGCCCCCCGCGGTGGCGCTTCGTCGCCTTCGTCGATGGCGTCGACCGTGCTGGCTTGGCGACGTATGGCCGAGAGCAGCGCCGACCGACCTCCGGAGGGCGCCACCGAGTTTTGCCGGACGATCGCTTGCTTCTGTTGATTTTGCGCCTGGTGCTGCGCACGCTCCCAAAGCACGTGCTCTTGAAGCTTCTCTTCTTTGATTTCGTACTTGAGGTTGGCCAGACCTTTTTGCAGCAGCGCACACTGCGAGAGGCAGAGCACGTTCGAGTAGCGCTGCGCAGTCTCAAGTGATGCAAACTCGTGCAAAATCTGAAACAAATCCGTCTCACCGCGTGCCTAGATACAGTGTATAAAACAGTGTAGTTTGTCAACAACGTACGTGGATGAGCGTCATGAGGTACTGAAGAAGCGTGATACTTTGGTCCATCGAGCGCGTCTCGGAGAGCTACGTAGCATGTCGCATTGGTTCCAATAACGGTGTTGCAACATACCTTGAGGAGCGAGGCGAGGGTGACGCCTGACGCGTCGGCGTGCTCAGTGCCCTCGTTGAGCACGTTGCCGAGCGCGAGGACGATCTCAAAGTACCGGGGAAGCCGCTCGCTTTGGAGAATGTCTCTCGCAGCGACCGCAATCGCTTCGAGTTGCTGGCGCAACGCCGCTGCCATGCTCTTGTACAGCACGACGTAGAGAAGCGACTTGATCTAGTCCCACCATAAGTTCTCACATGTACCGCAGCAAAGGTTCTACTTTTTCAGCCACGCGCGGCTGCTTGGCGAGCTCAATCAGGAAACCTTCGGCAGGATCCGTGACTTTACCCCGAAAATTGCTGTAGCGCTTGGCCTCAGCTGGCGTCGGTGCAATCTCATCCAGTGTTTGGAGTAAATCCACGTGCAAGATGGAAAGGTCGCACGCCGTCAGCGCAGCGATGACGCCGCTGACGCCATTCGCGATCGATTTGAACCGGCTGAGCGCAATGTTGATGTTGTTGGAGCGCCGCGCGTCAAGGGCCGAGAAGCCTGCTTTCGACGCCGTCTTTTTCATCGATTTCGTCGTTGTATTGTCGCCAAAGAGGTCAACGAGGCGGTCGAGGTCGCTGCTCGAGAGGGCCATCGGCGCCTTCCGCCGCTTGTCGGTTTGGCGGTGCCAGATGGACGACTGGACATCCACCTTTTTCGCGTCCAGTGCGGTCCAATGCAGCTTGCGGAGGTTGCTCTTCTTGCGCAACAACATTGGCGAACGACTCGACGCTGCTGGGCCGTGGCTTCGCGCGCTAGATATCGTCTTCATACACCTCCACGAATGCGCTCGCGGTGTACCTCGTGCTTGCGCCGGTCGGGTCCAATGCTGATGTAAAGACGTGGATGATGTCGGCATCAATGTAGTCCTGCTGCATCTTTTGCCCGACGGCCGATGCGGGGACGCCAAATGATAACATCTTGAAGTACTTGTCCATGGACGGGTTTTGTCGCAGCGCCTCGAGCGCCGCGTTCTCTCCGCGTCCGTCCGTATGTTCCTGCCGCGCCGCCAGCTACGTCAAATCGATTGGATGCAAAAAGTCTCTGCAAACGTCTACCTCGATATCGAGCGCCTTCAAGTAGCAGCGGTCACACACGTAGCCGTCGTCGCCCGACCGCGGCAGTGGAATGACGTGGCGTGTGCAATTGGCACAACACTGCTTCAAGCACATAGGACACTCTTGCGCGCGGCGAAAGAGAGAAAAGGGCTCCATGCATTGGCCACACGCCGCGTCCGACCGCGCCCCGAGCCACGACCCAAACAGCAGCTCTAACAGAAAACACATCGCCAGGTATAGCGACGTCACGACTCGAACTGTACCAGAGTAGGAGGTTTCCGATTCTTGCGGGATTACGGGTGGGCGCTGCTGTTGTAGCAGTCGCTCCTCGTCCGCCTCGAGCTCGGCGATGATGGTGCTCGTGGCGCTCAGCGCACGCTGAATGACGAGCTTCCAGCAAATGGCCTCGGCGGCGCCTCGGGACGCCTCCCACGCGTGGACATAGTCGGCAACAGAGACGACGCGGGCGCGGTAATAGACGTGCTTGGACCACACCTAGGCCTCGCCCATGGGTGGTGTACGCAAAGAGAGGACGCACCATCGTATTCCGGTTGTCAATGAGCAGTGAGAGACACTGATGCGATGGCAAGGTCGCACGGATGAGAAGCTCGGTCCACTGCGTTGAGGCGGACAGCGTGAGCACGGGGCTCACGGGCACCTCACCGCACTGCAGCGAGAGTCGCACCTGCGCGCTATTTCCCAAAAGCCGCAGCTGCAGCGCAACCACCAAATTTGACGCCGCGTCGTTGCGCTCCCAGAGCGGGATCGCGAGCGATTGACTGCGGCGAATGACCACGTCGATGATCGGTTGGCCGAGGAGAAGGTACCGCATCGGTGTGCACTCGCGAATCGACTCGAAGGCGTCGGGCTCCGACGCGCCATCAAAGCGCAGTACATCTCCTTCCTCGACGGGGTCGCTCAGCACAAGCTCGGACGTCGCAAACGGCGCCATGGCATCTTCCATGTATAGCGTGGGTGGAAATGTCGAGAAGGACACATTCAGGTCGTCTTGGAGCGGCGCAAGGGCAAACGTGACGCCGTGCAGCGCCGAGAGAAGTGAAATCGCCGCCTTGGCGCGCGTATACGACCCAAGAAACGCCATTTCGGGCTCGTAAAAGCGGGCGACGAGGCTGCGGCGCTTGATCAGGTTCTCGAGCGCACGGTGCAGCAGCCCGCGGTTGAGCGCGTAGAAGAGGAAGGCGCGGGCTCGGCTCCAGCCCACGTAGCGCATCGACGGCGGCGGCGTAAAGAGCTGTGCGTCGGCCACCACGGACGCATCGTCCCGAAGCACGTCACGCGTTTGGATGAGAAAGCCAAAGTACGCTTCTTCGGGCCACTCGTCGTACATATCGGCGGGCTACATGCATCCATAGCTTAAGGCGGATGATAGATTCAAACGTACGTGCACGTGGATACCGTGGCGCAAGATGGCTTCGAGCGCGAGGACAAGGTCCCTTGCAGCACCCGCATGCAGCGGCACGTTGGGCTGCTCCATGAAGAGCGAGACAGTGTCGACAACTGCGGTCTCGAGACGCTGCAAGAGCGCGTCATGCGACGCCGTCGTCCGCGGGCTGCGGAAGGCCTTGGGGCGGTCGACCGCGCTTGTCGAGCGGGCGCGGTAGACGTCGTTGTTGTACTTGATGTTGTACTCGTTCGCGGCTTCCCGTGCGGCGTGGAGCGCCTGGTGCGTTGTCCATAGCAGGCGGTAGCTCACCTCCTTGGTTCGGAGCCGCGAGTACTGGTTGTCCCATGTGAGCACCACGAGGCTGCCGACGGGAACGTCCTCGAGGATCCCTTCGACGAGCTTATCGACTGCGTTGTACCGGTGGCGGAACTGGGCGCATGGCTCGCCGTCGACCTCGACGCGGAACCCAATATCGAACGCATGCACCGCAAACTGCCACGCGAGGACGCGCTCATGCGCCGGCGCCTGCGTCGGTACCGCGATCGTCTCTCCGCGCGGGACCCTGAGCATCTCCATGGAGATGGCCTGCAGGAGGAAGGACGCGGGCGTCGGCAGCGCGTCTAAGGCGTCCGTCGTCGTCATCCGCCGCCGAGATCGCGCGAGATTCGCAACGAGGATATGAAACCTCTATAAGAACATATAACAATATTTCTTATTGACGATATCCGTTGATAGAGGTATTCATTGATTTGGACCAAGTTCTCGCTTCGCAGCGCGACGCAATTGCTTGATGCAAGCGACGCTGCACATACAACAAGAGAATCCGTCTTAGACAGCAGTCCTATAGAGAGCTAGCGAGCTCGTTTTTGCTATCAGGCTTTGAGGACATGATTACGATCTGCAGTAGTACCGCACGTTCCAAGTACAAACACATTCGCAACACTCAAGCTAAAGTCGCTCGCGTGCAGGCTCGATGAGCTGTGGATGCGGAGTTTGCTTCAGTGTTCACGAGAGTTCGACTTGGTAGAACCTCTGAGACTGCATACTTCCACCGAAAGTATCTTTTTTGGATTAAAATGCCATGTAATATCCAAAAACCAGGGACTCTCTACGTGTTTGTATGTAGAAAGGACCAAACGACGGAATTCCCTTTAAAAAATTGGCCCATCTATTTCCGGGAGTGCCAGTTTGACAGCATGGCGGCGGCGACCGACGTCTGCGCGCGGCAAAGCGCCAAGCTCGAAGAGCTCATGAACTTCCTCGGCTACGCCGTCCTTGACGATGGCTACAAGGGCGTGGTAGACACGGCTGCATGCATGCTCCATGAACGCCTCATGCGCTTGGTAGGTCGTCTTCTCGTTCCTCAACCACGCGCGGCAAATTGTCTGCGTCCGCTCTGTGGACACGACTGCGAGTAGGCTTCGACATGACGAGCTGCGATCTCTCACGGCACATGGTAGAGATCCGCATCTACGCGTCGCGGCCACCGCCGCAGACGGACTGCGTGGACATTGCGCTGACGATTTCGGATTTTCTGCACATGTACAGTGGCGAGCTCACGGCCGCCGAGATCGCCGGGCTCTGCATGTCGGGCAAGGTACTACTCGTGCATGCACGCATCCAGCGGCTAAAGGACATGCATACTAGGTCCAAGTGCGCTGGACCGCGTACGGCAGCGTCAAGGCGTTTGCCGATTCGTTTGACTTTTCGCCGGAAAAATGGGCTGAGTTTTACGACCACTTTGGGCTCGACCCGAATTACGTCGACTGGATCGAGTGCACGATGCCATGCTGCGCGCCACCGCCTGCCTGCACGCAGGTACGTCTTGGCCTTTGTGAAAAGTAAGGTGCTGACGGGACGCGGTAGGAGGAGATTGACTCGAACTGGCAAATGGTCAAAGATTCGGTCTTGCTCCCATCGAACGAGCTCGGCTGGGAACTCGTGTCGGAGGTCGAAGTCACGACTGTCGTCAAGAGCCCGGATGCAGCCGCGGCCGCCACCACGGAGGCCAAACAAGATTGGATCAGCGACGGCCTCAAGACCATCAACCCCCATTTTGTGCAAATGCAAAACACGGTCAAGAAGAAGATGTTCAACATGAAGGAGTACGCCGAGAAGTTTCTTGTCTCGATGGACATTTGAGCAGAACTCGTCGTCCATCGTGCGGCCTCGAACCTACTAAATGACCGAATTCCGGATTTTCCGTATGCAATAAATATATATGAGAACAAATATATACACAACGACGAGACAACGCTTTGGTCATGATCTATGGTAGCTGCTCTACAGCCGAGTGAGCTGCGACTTGGGAAGCACAAGGACAGTCCTGAGGTCAGTCCGAAGTTTGTGCAATCAGATTGGCCAAAACAAAACGCATCCAGCAGATTACATTGGACAAAAAGAAATGTTTTTGGCCAATTGAAAGGCGTATCAACCGATTTGGGTTTTGGAGCGAAAGGTGAACATGGAGGCAAGCGCGCTCTTCACGATCGCGACGGAGCTCCAGGCGCTAGGCAAGGACACGGACGCGCTGCGCTGCTTCCTCGTATGACGCTCATGCGCGAAGCATTCGATGGCCTCATGCAATGTACTAGGCCATGCGCCTCGCGCGTGCCAAGCTGCACTTGAAGGCCACCGAGACAGCCTTCGTGGATCTTTGCATCGCTGAGCTGTACCTGCAGCTCGCCTTGACGCACGCCGACGATCATTCTTTGCACATGAGCGCCATCAAATGCGCCCAGGACCTTCCGCATGCGGTGCCCGCCTTCGTGTCTGACATCCTGCCCGTCGATGCACTCGAGGTACTTGGCTTTTACTGGCAGCTGGCGCTCACGATGTCATCAGTGGGGCCCACGGCGCCTACGCTGCAAATGGATGCTGCTCACGCTCCAGAAAGCGTCCCACAATGAACGCGTTGCGATCTTGTGCGAAGGTGCCAATACATGTGACGGTCAACCGGAGCTCGACGCGTGGCATGCGTGGTTCGTCGCCACGCTCCAAGACCAGCTCGACGATGTGCACGCCGCTGTGCTCGATCGATCGATTGCAGCATCCACGTTTGGCGACGTGGCGGCCGCCGCGTACCGCCTCGCTGCACACACGGCCGACGCTACCTTCAAGGTACATGCACCCTTTGATCCACATCTTGTTGACGCCATGGAGCCTAGCTCTGGCTTCTCGAGACGCTGTGCCACTCGTTCCTGGCGGCCGACACGCTCGTTGTCGAGAGTGCAACAAAAATGTTTGATTTTTGCAGCCAGTTTGCGCGCCAAGTTCAGGACGCTTCGCTCTCGTACTACTTTCACTTGGTCCGCTTGCTCCTCTACCTGCGCCAAGGCAGCATCATCGAGGCCAAAGGCTTTCTCGACACCATTCCAAAGGCGCCAACAGGGACCAATCCGTTCTGGGCGCTCTATGCAGCCTTTATGGCGTTCCGGCTGCAGTGCTACTACGACCCCAACCAAGGTCTCGCCCTCGCGGCCAAGCAAATGGCCCGCTGGCCGCCGTACCTCGCATCGCCCAACTCGGTAGCGTACCTGCGCTACAGTGCGCTTGCGCTTTTCGAGACGTACGAAGTCGCATGCGTTATCTTGGACAGCCAAGGGCGGTTCGGGGAGCTCGCCGACCTTGCCACGCGCCTCGTGGACCTCTGCGCCACGTACCGACACATTGTCGTGGCGACACCGCTCGTTGTTGCCCGCGTGCACATCGTTCTGGCGCGGGTACGACTGCTTCTTTGAGACTGCATGATGGCTCACTCTGACGTGGGCTCTTAGTATGCCCACTCGCTGAATGCAATGGACGCGGCCGTGACGCACATCAACTCGGCGTTTTCGCTCTTGCTGACCGAGACGCCCGCGTGGCCGCAGCAGTCGGACGCGAGCTTGCTCGTGCTCATGGGCATCCTCGACGTGGCCACCACGATTGCGATCGATCCGCTACCAGTGCTGGACCCGGCTGGCACCATCGTCGTCGATGTCTTGAGTGATGATACGCCGTCGGACATTGGCGGTTTTTACCCGACCGAGAACCTGCTTGAATTTGCGGCCGGTATCCTGCGGGACGCAGAGCTGCGCAAGCTCATTTACGACGGCCCGTCCAAGGAGGTTCGCGCCAAGGTACGCCAGAGACTCTCTGAAGTAGCGTTTATCGAGTATGTTGTGCTAGTACGATTTGTATCTGGGCAAGTGGCTCTGGGCCAGCCACGCATTGGGTATGACGGGGTCGTACCCGGAGCTGGACGGGCTTCGCAGCTTTGGCCTCTCGATTCTCCAAGACTGCCTCACGCTCGCCAGCAGCGCCATCAACTGCAGCAACACGACGGCGGCCATTATGGTGCTCTTCGGCCCCAAGCTCGCGACGAGCGGCAAGGTCGATGAGGGCGAGCACACGCTCACGGACGCGCTCAAGATTGCGATCCACACCAAGAACGTGCGGCTCCAGCTCCAGATCCTGGTCGAAGTCCACGCGTCCTGCGCGCGCAAGTACGAGGCCAAGCCCCAGTCGGTCATCGCTGACAAGTACAAGAAGAAGCTCGCGTCATATGCGCGCAAAGTGCTCCGTGCGCAGTATGGCTCGGAGGCCTACCGCCGCCTCCTCAAGTGGACGCTGCCGAAAGAACCAGCAAAGAGCGACGCCTAAGCCACGTAACATAGAGTCTACAAGGAATACGTGTTGGCTTAGAGGCGCGAGATGGCGGTCGTCGCCGTGCGCACGACTTGCTGCGGCACGTTGTCGACTCGCATCGCATGGGCAGCGGCCGAGCCCGTCATTTCCGCCTACGTCACGCGATACATGGGCCTGTGGCTATAGCAAGAGAGAGGTGTACCATGAAGCGCAGTTCGTTCTCAAAGGAGACTGTGAAGCGGCCCACGAGGAGGCTCGCGACCTTGGCAAAGAGCTCCATCGCCACGTTCGCTGCCATCGTCGATCGGTCGGATTTGTGTTGATGCCATCATTCGATCGAAGCAAACTTCGAAGGCGAAAAACACCCAACTGGAGACCTCCCATAATGCATCTTCTCGTTTTCCTTGTACAAACTTATACGCCGATCCTTCGCGCCTTGTAGTTGGTGCCCACGTTTGGCGCCGTTCTGGCAGGCGTTTGGACAAGTGTGCTTTCGTACCTGCGCTGTCATTATATGCGGCTACAGCGATGCTACAACTGCAATGCTATTGAAGCTTGGACACTGCATGGCATTGACCTTGCTATCCATACGTGGCCGTTTCTGGTTGAATAATGTTTGCCATCCTCGCTCGGCATATTTTTATTGCATAAATAGAATGTCGAGGGTTTGATAATATTTCTCGTCAACGAATCAAAAACCACAACCCTACCAAATGCCTTGATGTGACTATACGGGTCCTATAATATTATCATGTTTTGACATCATGATAAAATGAAATAGAATAAGACTGTCGTGCGTTTGCAATAAAATTGTATCGATGTATCATTTTAAATGTCAAGGGCGATTAATATAATAGTTATAATAAAATACCGAAATCAAAGGAACGGCCTTGCGCTCCCAAGCTTGTGGCCGACGAAGCGACGCCCTTTGCACAAGGTCCGCTCGGACCTCTCTTGCGTCGTTAGTAATCACAGTCTGTTATTCCTGCACCGTGGTGTTTTGGGACAACAAATCCCGTTGGCGCCACTTGGATTTTGGCCGGTTGCGGGAGAGTGTTGGTCATGAAGCAGGCGGTAGCCATTCGTCAATTTCCAAAACACCGTCTCCGCCACAACCAGCAGCATGACCGCTTCGACCAAGGTGAACCTCGTGTCCCAGGACGGCGACAGCTTTGAAGTCGCGCGTGACGTGGCCTGCGTGAGCGAGCTCGTCAAGGCCATGCTCGCCGACGACGAAGGCGACGAGAGCGTCCGCGAGATCCCGCTGCCCAACGTCAAGAGCCCGGTGCTTGCCAAGGTCATTGAGTTCTGCAACCACCACCACACGACGCCGATGGAGGAGATTGAGAAGCCGCTCAAGAGCGGCGACATGCGCGACGTGGTCTCGGAGTGGGACGCGGCCTTTGTCGAGGTCGAGCAGGATACGCTCTTTGAGCTCATTCTCGCCGCCAACTACATGGACATCAAGTCGCTCCTCGACCTCTCGTGCGCCAAGGTCGCGACCTTGATCAAGGGCAAGACCTCGGACGAGATCCGCACCATGTTCAACATTGAGGCGCCTGCCGAGGGCGAGGCTGTCGCCATTGAATCGTAAACGTTGAGGTTGCAGCAACCCCGTGCGTCGCGTGTGGCGACTTTTATAACTAGCAAACTATTCATTTTCCCCTATGACGTTGCTGCTATCTTTCCTGGGCGTGCAGCATAGAAGGTCGGGCGATGCACTGCAACAACGCGCGCCGCGTCGATGGCGTCCTCGGAGCAAGCGAGGACCAAGGTAATGCAGGCGCGATATCAACCGCACCTCCATGCACGCTTGATCTCCCATGTGGGTCATGTCGGAAGGGGCCGGCGTTGCAGTAGGACGTCGACAGCACGCCGACGGCGCCAATTCAATGGCCGAGTGAGCTGGCCGAGTGCATTTTCATGTCGGAGTCATTGGATCAGATAGATACGCAAGACCACGCTGTTCGGTTTCGCTGACATATTGATATCAACATGGATGAATCAATCAACAGAACATGTTGATGTGCACACTATCAAGTTAGCGAGTCCACAAAACAGTGTTTTTGTGAAACAGAATATTACGGTTTGAAACAGTGTGTAGACTCTGTTGTTACCAACGAACACCATGACATGTACGTTGCGCCTCCACGAGGCAGCACAACGACGCGCTTGGATTCCCAACGTCACGTAGCTAGCACGGGACGATCATTTGCGATGGTCAACTTGACGTTGTCCTCGGGGACACATCATCACCGGTGTGAATGATGGTACGATGAGTGATGGTCGTATCAAGTTGCTTTGCAATGGAAATGTCATTTTCCAATTTCCAACCCCCGCACCACATTTAGCATGGCTCCGAAGCGCAAGGCCGCGTCAGTTGCGATGACGCCCAACAAGAAGTCGGCGCCTGCCAACTGCGGCGCGATCAGTCCCGTCGCCGTCACGGCGCTCGCAGCGCTTGGCATTACGCAGTCGGCGCTCCTGCGCGCTGCTTCCCTCGCCCTTGTGGACGTGAGCACCAACATGGACAAGTACTACGAGCTCCAACTGCTCGCTGCTGGCACATACCACTACGTGTTTGTGCATTGGGGCCGCACGGGCACAGCGGGCCAAACCCAGTTTCTTGGGCCGCAGACTCTCGACGCGGCGACCGCGGACTTTGACGCCAAGTTTCTCAGCAAGACGGGCAACGCGTACGCCCCGTCCCAGCCGTTTGTGCGGATCGCGGGCCGCTACGATTTGCTCGCAGTGCAAGAGGCGTCGGCCACGGGTGTCTGGGAGTACTACGTCAGCGACGGCGTCGACGGCAAAGCCACCGCCTGGTACCCGTACGTGGACGACGCGATCGAGCGCATGGAACTCCTGTGGCAAACCTTCCAGGCCAACGAAGGCTACACGCAGCGCATCGTCCAGTCGGGCTACTGGTCGTACCTGATCGACTTGGTGCAAATGACTCAAACCAACATCCAAACCAACAAGAAGCGCACGATTCGCCGGTCCGCGCCCATCCTCGTGACGCCCATGCTGACGACCACGACCAAGGGCTCAACGAAGCGCGCGACGAAAGGCAAGAAGACGGCAGCGTCCAAGTCGCTGCACTCCTTCTCGATCGTGTCGATCGATGGCAAGGACCTCGATGTGAACCTTGCGCGCATCGATATTGCTGGCGGTCGCGACGACTTTATCGACCTGACGCTCATCCAAGCCAGCGGCAGCACGTACCTCTGGACCATCACAGGCAGCTGCGGCGAGCGCACGGGCGAGACATTTGATGGCCCGTTTGACCGCAAGGACGGCGAGGCTCGGTGGAAGGCGGCGTACTACACAGCGACGGGCCACAACTTTGGCAACGGCGACTTTGTTCGCGCTGACGGCAAGTACGATGTGCTCACAATGCCAGACGACTGGGTCGTCACGGAAGGCAACCTCGAGACGCACGTTATGATCCCGCTCGGCACGCCGCTTCAGCGCGACGTGGCGTCCGACCTCTGGGCGTGGTACCACCACAACCCACACTACGTGAAGCGGCTCATGACATTCGACCATGTTGTCTACTGCCTCGACTTTGAAAAGATGACGGCGACGTCGGTCGTCAACCCGGCTGTCGCTTGGAACATTCGCAAGATGACTGCTATCAAGTAGCGCCAAAAACACATCAATATTATATATATATATATATACACCGACACCTATCACTTCAACTTGTCTATACTAGACTGTCGTTGCACTTGAATCATTGTGCCAATGTACGTATGTAGGGGTGCGGGAAACGTGGCAAATTCAATACATAATAGGTTACAGGCGTCGGGTTTAAAACTCAAACTCAACAACAACGTTCTTGGTCTGCGGTGGCGGCACCTTGGCTTCTTGCTGGTACTTGCGCAGCACTTCTTCGTAGTCGTCCGTCTCGCGTCCGAGCGTCGAGCGGGGCGAGTACAGACTGTAGTCGTCGTCGAGCGACGAGCGCGGGCTCATGGCCGAGTCGTACGACTGCGCGAGGATGCAAGAGACCGGCGTGAGGCAGTCGAGCGTCACGTCGTCGTCCACGATGCCGTCCATCCACGAAGCGTTTTGGCTCGACACGTGGTGGTATTTCGGCGGCTCCAACGCCGGCTTGCTTCTACTCGAGGATTGAGACGACGCCGTCGTAGAGAACGAAGACGCGGACCCGGCAGAGTCTTTTCGGCGTACGGGCTTGGCCGCCTCGGGTGGGCTGCTTTGATCGGGGCGACTTTTTTGCTTGTCGTCCCGAGATGTGCGCTTCTCTTCGCGGGGGCTGCGCTTCGTGTCGCGCGGCGGCGGCCCCTCTCCTCGCCGCGGGTCAGGTCCTGACGCTGATCGGGCCATGGGCGGCGGCGGCGGCGCGTCGTCGAGTTCCTCGTCGTCTTTTCTATGGTCGCCGCCGGCGCGCTTGTACACTTTGGGCGCTTGCCCGTCGGCAGATCGGTCCTGCGCCGCGGACGCGGCCTTGATCTTGCCAAACTGACTCACTTCCATCGTCTGCGCCTTCTTCAAGCCGGCATGTCGAGGCTGCGTCGCAAAGACAGACGTCGGCGTCTGGTACGGAGTCTGTGTGATGGGCGCGCTGTTGTTTTCTCGTCGCCGGTCGACGTCGGTCATGGGCGGGCGCTGCGCCTCGTGGCCGGCGTACGTTTGCTGGCGCACGAGCCCGCGCCGGTCGAGCGACTGTGTGACCGCCTGGTAGTTGCCGCGTCGCGACCGTGACGACGGCGAGAGCGACCGGTCCAGCGACTCCATGGCGTTCATGCGCGGGCCAACGTTCGACTTGAGCTTGGGCTTCTGTTGCTGAACCGGGCCAAAGAAGAAGTCGAGGAGACGCGAGCTCTGCACCGCCTTGGACGCCGGCGACGCGCCGCCCTCGTGGCGCGTCTGGAGACGGTTGACCCGCATCGACTTGGTCGGGTATTGCAGGAGGTTCGCCGGCGGCCCGGGCGTCGACTCGGTCGTCGTGTCGACTCGGATCATCGGCGACAGCAATGAAAAAGGGGACTGACACCGAGTATCCGTACGCTGTAATGTGGCAGAAAGAGTGTGTCGATCCGTAGCCGGTGCGTAGAGGCTGCAGCTATGTGCACGCAACTTTGCATACATCTCCATTGGGCATGTGCGCCTCATTGGTACCTTGAAGGGGCGTGCGAATAGTCAATCGTGACTGTCACGGAGCATGTGACGCCGCGCCTTTGCGTCGCCTCTAGCCGAGTGCCTCTTTTTTCTCGCGCGCGTCAATTCCATTACATTCACCAAGTGCTGCGTGACGAAACGCTAAAATATAACGAAACTGGCTGCTTCGACCCCAATTTTCTCGAAACTGTCTCCTTTTATACCACGTGAGTATACCTCGAGGAGACGACGTCTCGGGTCCCACGGCGCGCTGGGACAAGGCAATCAGTATTGATCTTTGCCGCCCTTTTCTTCCCAAGCATCGCATTCGCGACAGGGCGATGGACCTTGGTGCGGCCGTCTCTGCAGGTCCAAGATATCACACGACAGCAGCCACACAAATGCGTATATCGCTCGCTGGCCTTGAAGCTGCGAGTGGATGGACGCGGATGCAATTCTTATCGCTTTCTTATTTGGTCGATAAATAAAAAGCTCGATGCACAACTCACACGCCAAGACATTAGGGCACACTAGTACCATGACTTGGTTGGGATCGAGGGCGCAGCTTCTCTCGGTTCCTTCTAGTGCATTGTACCGACAGCTCTTACATGAGAGACTCGACGACTGGTTTGCTGTCGGGAACGTGGCTGTTACCCAGTTATAGAGGTGGATCTTTCGTTGCTGTGACCTACTCCTTGGCATTCTCTGCTTGGCTTTCACTAGGACGTCATAGAGGTTCACTCCAGCGCGTCAAGTAGAATGTTGGAGCAAACTGGCGAAAGAATCACTGTCGCCGTCGTGACACGACAAGGGCAGAGAGGACAGAGTACGAGGCTTCACCTGAATGGTCGAGCATTCTGGTCAAACACAACAGAGCACCATGAAGCGAGAAACGGTGCCCACAAGAAGGCATGGTCAAGAGGACAGGGCAGAAAGTCGTCCGGGAACTGTCCACAGTTTGAGACACAATCGAGAATCGTCGATTCCTTGAACCTTGTCCTGGTCGGATCGTGAAAGCACGAGACTCTCTCCGTGCCAAGTGCAAAGGCAACCTCAAGAACCCGGGCCAAGAACCATGGTGCATAGCAGCCACCATGTATACTACTACGTACTACATATCGCCGTGGCCGCGTCTTGGCAGTGCGTCGATGGTTACACATTTCGTGTGCGCGCGCTGTAATGAATCTGTGGCGCCAACGACGCCTCGACGATCCACGTAACAACAACATCTCCATTACGCACGATCTGTGACGTCTACGGCCGCAGCTCGTCCGTGTCGTCGCCCGTCGTCGCTTCCTTCGCCGCTTCCTGCGCCTGCAGCAGCTCGATGTCTTCCAAAAGCTGGTGGACGGTCGGGCGAAGGATGATGTTGACACCTTCCTGGGCAGCGAGGCGGCGCTCCCGCGCCTGCACGCGCACGCCAAAGCCAAAGATGGTGCAACCGCGCTCAATGTCCTTTGTCGTAATGTTGCCGAGGCCGACGTGCGCCGTGTGAATGAGCGGCATCGCATCCACCGTGTCGAGAATACTCGTGAGCGACCCCGCCGTATCGGCCTTGATGACGATCGGCGCGCCAAAAAAGCCCTTGAGCGGCAATTCCTCCTGAATCTCCGCGTCGTCAGCCGCGGTTGTTGCGTCGTCCTTGGGCACGACACACTCTTGAAAATCCATGTTCATCTCCCTAAACGACGACAACCGCTTATGTGGTTTCATCGAGCAACCTGACGTACCGCTGTGCCATGATCTCTTCGGCGCGGTCCTTAGCGACAACATGGAAGCCAAATTCAAGTGGCGCGTCGCGGTGCCGAGACACGTTCTTGAACGTCACGTCGACGACTTGGCCCGGCGACGCGACAGGCACGACGTCGCCGTTGGCGTTGCGGATTGTCTTGACGACACCGTGGATCATGCCGCAGATAAAGTGGTCTTTCGGGTGCAACAGTCCATGGAAGATCATGACGCGGATGACGGTCCCCATGCCAATCGAAGCGACGATCTCGAGCGCCGTGCCTACGATGCATGAGGCATAGGCTGCGTGCAATGGCGTACGAACCGGTAGCGTCACCGCCCTTTGTGCCATAGTACGCAGTGAGGTCCACGTCCGGCAAGATGGCCAAGATCTTTTCCTTGAGCTCGTCCAAGTTGGTGCCGAGCTTGGCCGAAATGGGCAAGACGGGGCACGTTTCGAGAGCGACGTAGCTGCGGACCTCCTTCTCCACCCTACACATAATACGAGTTAGCATTATCGGTGCCATCGTATCGATCAAGACGCACGCGACAAGGGCGTCCGGCGTCGCCTTGTCCATCTTGTTGATGCACACAACGGTCGGGACGCCGAGGTCTTCGATGCAGCCAATGGACTCTTCGGTCTGGAGCAAGCAGCCCTCGTCGGCCGCGACGACCAAGACGACGACGTCAGCGACCGACGCTGCGTTGTTGCGCATGCGCGTAAAGTGAAAGTGCCCCGGGGTATCGAGGAACGTTGCCGGCGTCTCAAAGTTGAGGTCGGACAAGCACACGTGGATCTTCTGCGTAATGCCCTCGACTTCGCGGTCGGCGATGTTGGTGCCCCGGAGCGTGTCCATGAGAGTCGTCTTGCCGTGGTTGACGTGGCCCATGACCGCAATCACGGGCGGGCGCGTTTGGCACATGTCCCGTTTGTCGTGCGGAATGTCGTGCTTCCCGACCGCCTCCGGCTCAACGCTGTCGTACACCACGAGCGCGCCATGCTGGCCCGCGATTTTGGCCGCGACCTCGAACGGCAAAATGACTTGCTTGAGCGTCTCAAACTTGTACTCGATGCTATTGTGCGTAAGGTAGTACTTGTGGTAGTGCTTCTTGCACGCGAGCTTGGCGACATCGTCCGCAGGCACCTTGAGCTTCTTGGCCAAGTCGCGCACGCGAATGTAGTTGGGCAGCAGCACGGGCTTCTTGAGCTTCGACGCGAATCCGCGCGAGCCCGTGAGCACGGTCGTCGACCGCAGGTTGCGCCACAGCATCTTTGGTCGTGGCCAAGAAAGAGCAGTGGCGTGTGATTGGCTACACGTCAGCCAATCAAAGCGCATGCATCGCGACCTTTGAGTTGACCAATCAATGCACGAATCCAATGGCATACACTATTTGCAATCAGAAGCACACTATTCCTCGCACCAAATGCCAGGTGTTATCGTGTTGAAGAGTGGCCGCATTAGACATCGAAGACGAGAGACCACTCTTTTCATAGATGTAAGCACGTCGTCTACACCGCCGCTTCACACTGAGATTAACACTATTAATATCATTCTTTAGGACCTTGCGGGATGCTTGGCACGTCGATTCGTATGAGTATCAGCCGTCTCAGGTGGAAGCGGAGGATGATAATCACGATGATACCGGCTCAGAAAATGCGCGCGGAAAAATCCAGTGCATGCGACGTGAAATACTGTGAAATTGCTCTATGTCGATTCAACACTTGACGACGTCGACGCGACCGCATTTCCATTAGTCGTTCTTGCGTATACTAACTAACGTTGTGTTGGGTGACGTGATACTGCAACCTCATCCGGCAGGCAAAGTTGCTGCAGCCTCTATAACGCGCCGCGCTGCACAGAAAACCGTGCTAGCAGAGGGCGAGTAACAGGCTTCTTCGTTCTGGGTCGCTCGCAAATTGGCCTCTCGGCTCTTCAGCTCGACGCCCACCAGTAGCGACCGACGGAGCGATGCCAGACAAGGACGTGCGAGCCAAAGCCGTGCTTGGACGCCGCCAAAAGAAACGCTATGCGTACGGATACATGTCTCTTTTTTTCCGGATGTCTATCAACCGGTCGCTATTTTTTTACGAGATTTTATTTCGCATACAAAACGCAAGCTACTTGTCCCATAGGCGGGCCGATAAAAAGTCTGGCTCAAGTGTTCAGAGCGTTTTTTGCAGTCGCCTAGTTCTCCGAGGGTTGGCGACCACGCGTAAGATCTCCATGATGCTGATGAACTGCATGATGCTCCCTGCAACCGAGTCGACGATGGTCATGGGCGGCCTCGCCGACGACGCCTGCAGCCTCGGCGGGACAACTCCCCTCGACTTTGCCTACGACGGCGCGCCGTCGACGCACGCCGAGCTTGTCGCTGCCGCGTCGACGATCGACGCATGCTGCAGCCCCGCTGCCGTGCGCCGGGGCGGCGAGGGTACGCGCAAGAACCTCTGTATATGCGTCGACGACGTTGCGGCGCGCCTCGGCGCCATCGACAACAACGCCAATGACGACGACGACGTGACGTCCGAGGCGAGCGACTCGGCGACCGCGGACGATGTCGAGTATGACGACGACGAAGATGCCATGTGCAAGCGGAAACGCATCGGCACGTTCGACGCCTCCGATGACACGTCGGGCTACGTGAGCCTCGCGTCCTGCGAAGAGGCCTTCCACGGTACAGACGGCGTCGTATCGAGACAATGGTCTGACAGCCTGTAGTCTCCAAGCGCCCCAAGCTCGAGTCCATTGACTACTCGTGCTCGTACCCTGGTAGACCCACACCAACTCGAAGCATACGCTCATTTGTCGTACGTCCTTAGAGACGACGGCGCACGTCCAGCTCTCGGCCGTCCACAACGACCAGATGCGCTTCTTCTTCACACCGTTTGGCGCGGGCCAGTCGGCAGGCGCGTCGCAGCCGCTCGCGGTGCAGTTTCCGTTTGTCGCGTCCGGGACGTTCGAGATGGCCGGGTCGTCGCGCGTGATCGCCACCAAGACGCGGTCGACGCCGGCGACTCCGCGCCTCGTGGACATGGACGCCTAATGGTCGCATCTCGTATTTATCTCTCCCCCTCTTCATCGCGACGACCACCTCCTCGAACCCTGTACTACTCGACTGTAAAAACACTACTCTTGCCCTCTCATTATCCCCCTGTCCATCAAACGAAGATGAAGAAGCGTCGTCATATAGCAACCGAGCATACAAGAGGGTCCCTTAGGGCATGGCCTGGAGGGCGCGGGCCGCAAAGAACTGCACGTCGCCATCCGGGTCTTGGAGAAGCGCGTGCAGGCACGGCTGGCCCGACGTCGCTAGCACGGCCGCGTCGACGGGACCCACCATGGATTCCAGCGTCTTGGCCACGTTGAAGCGGATGTTGGGCACCGGGTCCTACCGAAAACAACGTCGTCAGTTGCAGAACGGCGACGACGACGGAGCGCACCGCGGCCAGCTCGAGCACGATCGGGAGAAGCGTGGCTTGGATCGCGTCGGACGGCATCACTTGCGCCAACACCTAATGCGATAGATCAACAAGATGTCTAAGCTCTTGGTGGACCTTGACGGCGCGCAGCGAGATCATGCGGTAGAGGTAGTTCGGGTTCGAGTGCATCGTAAATATTCTGGGCACGATGTGTTGCCGGGCCCAGTCGACGCCAAAGTGCTGTGTCAAGCGCTGCAGATTCAGCGCCGCGGCCTCGCGGATCGAGAAGACGCTGTCGCAGAGCCAGCTCATGCACATCTCCATGAGATGTTCCTCGAAGTACGAGACGCCGAGCTGCGACGCCAGCGTTGGCACAAACTCGATGATCGCAAGGCGCACGCGCCACTGCCGGTCCTCGGCCAGCTGCACGATCGCTGGCAAAAGGGACTGCGAGAGCTGATCGATGCCCACAACGTCGTTCACGTGATCGAGGTTCGAGATGATGTTGAGACGCACTTCCGAGTTGTCGTCCGAGAGCAGCTACATCATTCATGCAGCCACAGGACTCTACCCCATGCGTGTGTACCTGGAGAAAGAGCGGCAAGAGATGCGCCACCGCATGCTCGCGGCCCAAGTACGGCGCCATCTTCATGACGACCGACGCCAGCGACGCGCGGACGTGCTCGGACGGGTCCCGCGCCAAGGCCGTGCACGACGGAATCACCTTGGCCACGAGCTGGGCCGGGTGGATAAAGGCCGACGCGCCGTGCGTCTTGGCCGCTGCAATCGTCTTGACCTCGGCTTCCGTGTCGCCCAACAGCGGGACCAAGCACGTGTCGCCTACGCAACACTATTTAGACACCGAGCACGAAGAATAAATCAATCGCGTACAAATGGTCGTGCTCGCCACCTCGGGCCCAACGGCCTGGCAAATCTCGGGGAGCTTGTTGCCGACTGACCACCGGACGCGCCACGCCGTGTCCTTGGCGGCCGCGCAAATGATAGGAATGAGCTGCGTCATCTTGACGTCTTCGGGTACGAGCTGCGCGAGGGCGACCGCGTTGTCGACGGTTTGGAGGCGCACCGAGTCTTGACGATCTTGCGCGAGCGAGATGAAGAGTGGCATGAGCTCGTTGTTGGCCGTCGCCGCGTCCGTCTATGCAGGCGTTATGACGGCAAAGGTGTAGCGCAAAACGCACGCACCAGCAGCGCAAACGAACCTAACGCCGTCGACGCGGCCTTGCGCACGAGCGGAAGGTCGTCGCGGCAGAGCTGGCCAAACATGCCCCGCATTTCGGCTTGGATCGCCGGCGTCAATGCATTGTAGCCCACTTGGAAGAGACTGCACGCAGCGATGCGCGACGTGTACCTACTCGATGCGTGAGCAAGGCTGTCGTGTGCAAGCGATATGCGAACCAGTCGCGCGTCACGAGGCGGCGCAAGACTGCCACAAAGTGCTCGGTAATGTGCTCTGGCGACATTTGCTGCACGACCTTGACCATCGACTTGCACGCCTACGCATGCATGTCGCCACTGCGACGACATAATTTTTCTGGTGTTACCATGTCGCGGACCGCGGCTTCATCCACGGCCACGAGGGTTTCGAGCAAGAAAAGCAAGTGATACGCATTGAGCGCACCGCCGACGAGTTCGACAAATTCGCCTGCATGAAGCGTGAGACCATGAGACTACAATGCAGTCTTTGAATGTACCAAGCTCTTGCGCAAGCGCCAGGAGGATCTCGTCGTCGTCGTCCAAGGTCTCTTTGCACCACTCGTATGAGGCCCATGTGTCGGGCGAGGATCGCAGTACCGTTAAGAAACGGAAGTAGCTCGTCACGCGTGCGCTGTGGGCCGAGCGCCGAGGCTACATGCAAGGCCATGAGCGACGGCGACGCGCAGGCTCGTGGTACCAATCACTTGCACCTTCTTGATCGCTTGCAGCCGCAGCTTGGCGTCGTCATGGCGCAGCTCGTCGACCAAGACGGCTACGGCGTTGATCGTCCCATCGTCTAGGCAGCGCCATGAGCTCCATGTTGCGCCGCCGACCATGCGTACCTTCCATCGCGTCTACCGTCACCTCTCTCGCGCGGTCGCTGAAGTCGCTCCGTCGCTGGAATTAGCTTGTGGGGAGAAGACACAAGCCAAATGTATGGGGTGCTTGAAACCTCTCATACATAATATCTAAACCACATGCATTCCAAGAGGTTTCGACCCGTTTCCTGAGTTGCTCCGTCGAGCAACTTGATTCTGCTGCTTTCGAATTCCTTGTCGTCGTCCTTGGTCTTTTCATCAACAATCAAGTCACGTGTCTAGTGTACTAACTACAAAATCATACCAAACTAACTAACTAACGCGTGGCCAAGATCCTGCGTCCAGGATACGTCCGTGTCGCAGACCGACTCGATATCTTTCTGACCCAACTGAAACAAGCCAAGGTACTCGGACCCTACCTCAGCTCTACTCGGGCTCTCATTGCTTTATTATATATGATCATTCACTGGAAGCTAGCCGATCGCAGGCTGCCACGGACGAGGCGACCACACTTGGAAATACCCCTAACCTCCGTCGCTGGCGGTTGAGATGCAACACATACATACACGTCAATCGTGGACGTTATACAACCGAGACGCAGGGATACACAAGCTATGCATTGGTGCGGCCAGTGGCTACGTCGACGCGCGGCTGGTCGAAGCTGCTGACGCGCGGTTCGAACGCTGTTTGTGGTTTTCATACTCTTGGTCGTCGGTGGGCAGCTCAAAGCGACAGACGGGGCAGGAGTTGTGCTATGCATATTCGTACATGGACTCGAAGGCAGAAGGATCATCCTACTTGGGCCAGCCAGGGCAAGATGCAGTCCGGATGAAAGTCGTGGGTGCAAGGCAGCCTTCGGATCTCGTCTTTGACGGCAAACATGTCCTTGCACACGGCGCAGTCCTGGTTCTTGGCCACGTCCTCCTACACGATGCATGCATGTGGCGTCCGCCATGATGCTTCACTGTAGTGTACCTCGGTGATGTGCACGACGGGCAGGCTCTCGACGACCGACTTGGAGGCGGGTGGCGCGCCATGCTATAGACGCGGTGGCTTCGTACGGCAAGGTTGACTGGCGCTGTACCTGGGTCGGGTCGTTTTGCATCAGGTGGTTGATGATGGTCGAGATGTTGCCAAAGGCGTAGTCGCCAATGGTCGCGGGGGCACCTTGCCCGGGTTGCATCTGGAGCATCGACCCGATCGCGTTCAAGAGGCCCGAGCCGCCGATCGCGTTGCCACCCGAAATGTACACTTCGACGGGGCGGCCGCTGCCGGTGCGTGTGAAGATGCGGTTGCGCGTGGTACGGGCGGCGCCGTTGGACGTCGCCTCAAACAGCCTACGTCGTCCTTGAGCACACTCGTTTCGAGCGTTGTCGTCAGTAGCATACGGTCCTGCACGGCGCCCATCCTCTCGGCGAGGCAGCGCCTGTGCGTACGGTGCGTTTGCCTACAGAAGGTCCATGACATCCACCGACGTTGGATCGGTCCTTGAACCTCGATCGACGCGGCGCGATCGGCATCCAGGCGCGCAGGCAGCTCCAGCCGGAACATGCCAGGAGGCGACGCGTCCTGCTCCTCGTCGCGCGGAGGCTCGGCCGTCGGCGGCACAAAGTTCTGGGGCCGGTCCGCAGCGTCCTGTTCCAGCTCCTCGACGAAGCAGCCGCCGCAGCCCTGGCACTCGAGCTCGTGCGACTCGACGTTGAAGATCGTCGCGACGTTGGACGCACACTCGTGGCACCAGTACGTTGGCGCTGCGGTCGGCGCCGTCTCGCGCGGCAAGGTCGCGTCGACGTCCGTGCTCGCGACCATCGTGCTCTTGCTGGCAATGGGAATTCTGGGTAAAACCCGGCGTTTTGCCCTCAAAATAGACTGACTATCGGCGCATTTCATTCGCCCGTGCCACTTCCCATACAAACACCAAGCTTGTGGACAAGGGTCTTTCGGAATCCCACCGATTGCAAGCAGCCGTTGGAGGTTTAACCCACATCGTTTGTCCCACACTCGACCGATCTTCTGCGCCGGCAACGACGCCATGCGAAGCACGAGAGAGATGCAACGCAGCAGATCAATGCGCGTGGTTGCCCAAGCAGACTGCTTCGCTCTGCCATTCCATCGCATCTCGTTGCTCCTTGCAAGCCATTTCATGGCGACCTTGCGGCTACATGCAGCAAATAAGGCAGGACGCTAGCTCGCCAACGAGACCTTCAACATTGCGATAGAGGTGGCGCAAGTCCGACACGATTGCGCGGGACATGCCACGGACATATCGTGCTGCGCCAGGCGGCGTTGGAAAGGCCATGTCTACGAGGCGAGATTGCATTTTGCTGCAAGGTCGCTCGTCAAATGGGACCGACGAGGGTGGGACGCGCGGAGGCGAGTCATCCACGAACACGTCCCTGGCCACCCACAGCTCGGAGCAGCGCACCCAAGGATGGCCGTCAGTCTCGTCCAGTCCCATTCCGAGGTCGACGATCATCGTTGATGTTCCAATGTATCTTGGTCATTTGACAACCGGCATCGAACGGCGCCGACGTTTCCGATGGGTCGCACCAGCTATGCCGAGGTGCAGACGCCCCAAGGCCTCGAGGCGGCAGCGACGACGCATCCCGTCGAGTCGGCCAATCGCTTCTCGTTTGCGCTCATGCTCTGGATGGATGGCTTGATCCGCCGAGGCGCCAAGGAGCCGCTGCAAGAGAACGACGTGTGGCTGCTGCCGAGCGGTGACACGGCGGCGGCCCTCAGCGCACGCTTCGCAGCCGAGTGGGCCATCGAGAAGACGCGCCCGACACCTCGCTTCCACAAGGCGCTGTGGCGCACGGTGCGTCGCCGGCTCTATTGCACGCTCGGGCTCTACCTTCTCTACTCGTTCATCATGCTGCTGCAGCCGATCGTGATCAAGTCGCTTTTGCAGTTCATGCAAGGCAAGCCGACGTCGCTCGGGATCGAGTCGGGGTACGGCCTCGCGGCGCTGCTGACGGTTGTTTCGCTCGTTGCGGTGACGATCATCGACTTTGGCCAGCTGCTCGCGTCCAACCTCGGCTGCAACGCCAAGACGATCATCATGGACGTCGTCTACCACAAGAGCCTCAAGCTCTCGGGCTTTGCAAAGCGCAGCATGTCCTCTGGCGAGATTGTCACCTTGTCCGGCGTCGACTCGGAGCGGCTTTTCGACGGCTTCCTCATCGGCCCATGGAGCCCGACGGCGCCGATCTCGATCGCGGCCATCTTTGTCATGATCGGCTTTGAGCTCGGCTACGTCGTCGGGCTCGTCGGCTGCGCCTTCATGTACCTCATCCTGCTTCTCGGGTACCTCTCGGCCAAGACGGTCGGCGAGACGCGCCGGCGCCTTCTGAACGTGCAGTCCGAGCGCGTCAAGCTCACGAACGAGGTGCTCCAGGGCATCCGCGTCGTCAAGATGTACGGCTGGGAGCGCGACCTCGAGGCGGCCATCGATCGCATTCGCGCGCAGGAGCTCGTGTTTCTCAAGGAGTACCACCGCCGACGCGTCTTCAACACGGCGGCGCTCTCGGTCGCACCGGCCATTTGTCTCGCCTTGTGTTTGCTCCTCTATGTCGCGCAAGGCAACACGCTCTCGCCCGACAAAGCCTTCACGGTGCTCGCCTACATGAACGTCGCGCGGCTGCCGTGCTACAACTTTTCCAACGGCAGCCTCTTTGTGCAGGAGGCCATGACGTCCTGCGACCGCGTCGGCGCCTACTTGCTCGCGGACGAAGTTGCCGAGTCGATGCCGACGGGCGATGCGTGCGGCGAGGTGCCCGACGTGGCCATCACGGACGGTGATTTTACGTGGCACGGAAGCCCGTCCACCGACGCCGACCCGTCGCTGCCGTTGACGCTGCGCAACATCCACCTCCACCTCGCCCCTGCCTCGCTCACCATCGTCGTCGGCGCCGTCGGCAGCGGCAAGTCCAGCCTCGTCTCCGCTCTCCTCGGCGAGATCCACCAAGTACGCGGCACCCGCCACGTCACCGGCAACGTCGCCTACGTCAGCCAAGAGCCCTGGATCCAACACGACACGCTGCGCAACAACATCCTCTTTGCCGACGCCTTTGACGACACCAAGTACAACGCAGTGCTCTCGGCCTGCCAGCTCACGTCCGACTTGCGCATGCTGCCGGACGGCGACCGCACCGAGATTGGCGAGCGCGGTATCAACTTGAGTGGCGGCCAGAAGGCGCGCGTGAGTCTCGCCCGTGCCATGTACCGGACCGAGGCGGACATCTACTTGCTGGACGACCCGCTGAGCGCGCTGGACGTGCACGTGGCGGGCGCCGTGTTTCGGGACTGTGTGCAAGGTCTCTTGGCGAGCAAGACGACGCTATTGGTGCTCAACAGTCACTACCATCTGCTGCCGCACGCAGACCGTATCGTGGTTATGGTGGACGGTGCGATCGCGGCTGACGGACCGTTTGACATGGTGAAGGCGCAGTTTCCGGACCTCCAGAGCTTTGCAGAAGGCGAGGAAGAGACGAAGGCGAAAGACGCTGCTGACGCCAAGAGCCGTGCAACACCAGAGGCAGCCAAGCCGAGCGGTGATGGCAACCTCGTCGCCAAGGAAGATCGCGAAGTCGGGGCGGTGGCCACGAGCATTTACGCCACGTACCTCAGCTTTAGCGGCCACGGCCCGCTCTTTGTCTTTGCATCCGTCGGCGCCGCCTTTACGATCTCGCAGGCCGCGCTCGCGCTGCTGGATTGGTTCATGGGCCACTGGGCGAACACGCCGTCGATGGCTGGCGCGGTCTCTTCCGCGTGGATCTACGTGGGCATCATGCTCGGTGCGGTTGTGTTGATTTGCGGCCGCATTATCTACGGTCTCCTGCTCGTCATTCGCTGCTCCAAGACGCTCCACGAACGGCTGTTTGCCAAGGTCTTATCGGCGCCCGTCACGACCTTCTTTGACGTTGTGCCGGTTGGTCGGATCCTGAACCGGTTCTCGAGCGATCTCGACCAAGTCGACTCGCAGATCCCGTACTTTGGGCTCTTGTTTTTGCAATTTTTCTTCCAAAACCTCGCGGTTGTCGTGGTCTGCGCCGCGACGTCGCCGTACGTGCTGCCGCTGTATGTGCCCATCTTTTACGCGTTTTACAAGCTCCAAGCCTACTACAATTTGACGTCCGGCGAGCTCAAGCGCATGGACTCGACGTCGCGGTCGCCCGTCCTCAACACGATCTCGGAGACGATCAACGGCCTCTCGACGATCCGCGCCTTCCGCATGAGCAGCGACTTTGCCGCCAAAAGCCGCGCGATTCTCGACAACAACTTGCGCTTCTTCTCGCTCTATCGGACGTCATCGCGTTGGATGCAGATGCGCCTCGATTGGCTCTCGGTCGCCGTCATCGCCGGCGTCGCCTTCATCTCGGTCGCGTCGAGGAGCGTCGTTGGTGTCATCGCCGCCGGCCTCGCGATCACGTACGCAGCGCAAATGTCCGGCTTCCTCTCGCGCACGACCATGACGTACTCGTACGTTGAAAACACAATGACATGCGTCGAGCGCCTCGAGCACTATGCGACCTTGCCAACCGAGGGTGACACCAAGCTCGTCACGGCAACCGTCGACGCGTCGTGGCCTGTGAAAGGCGTCGTCACCTTTGACCACTATGCGATGCGGTACCGCGACCACCTCGACCTCGTCCTCAAGGACGTGTCGTTCACCGTGCCGGCCGGCGCCAAGGTCGGCATCTGCGGCCGCACCGGCTCGGGCAAGAGCTCGCTCATGGTCGCGCTCTTCCGCATGGTCGAGGCCGCCTCTGGTCGCATCCTCATCGACGGCGTCGACCTCGCCTCCATC